GCTGCCCCCTGGACAGGCCTGGGGGAGCCCAGGAGGACCCAGCTCAGTGCTGGGTCACGGTCACGCTGAGCAGGTAGGCGCGGCCTCAGGAAGGCACAGAGGGAACTTCTGGAAAGTAATGGGCAGTGGGAGAGCAGGCCCCTGGGAAGGCCCCTCTCCTCAGGAATGTGAGGCAGCCAGCTCCTGCCGGAGCCGGAGGAGCCGTGTACACAAACACTGCCAGGCCCGGCCGGCCCCAAACTCCGGCGTGGAGCGGGCCCCGGCCTGGCTCTGCCGTGTAGGGCTGCGTGACCCAGTAGCTGTGCAGGCTGTGGGGTTCCCACATCCCTTTGCAGGGCTGCATGGTGCAACTGTGCATGCTGAGGGTTCAGCACATCCTTCCCTCGGCCTGAGCATCCTCTCGGCCACACCGTGAACCCACATCTGGACACGGTCAGTCTCTGGGCCAGAGGACACATGCCCAGATGACCGCCAAAAGGCCGCTCACAGTGTGTCTTTGTTAAGTTCTAGCTGTGAATGAGGTAGCTTGGCTTGGCTTGGGCAGGGTTCTGTGCGGTGACTGTCAGGGCAGGGGCCTGGGCATCCGGGAGCCTTGTCCTGCCTATGCTCCTGCCAGCCCCCGGGGAGAGAGGAGGGAAAGGGAGGGAGGAGACAGGAGGGGAGGGAAGGCCTGGTCCGCTGCAGGCTGAACCCAGGCCTCCGCTGGGAGCTGGGAAGGAGGGACGCCGGCAGAGCCCGGATGGAAGGAGCGCTCGGGGAGGGTCAGAAGCCACACAAATTGGCGAGCCTTTTCCGACGCACAGGCTGGGCCTTTTTCCCTGGAGAACTTGACCTGATCCCTTTATTTACTCTGCCTCTGCAACTGGCCCGTAGATCATCTCAGCGAGGCTAAAAATAGCGCCTGCGCCACTCCTGCTGGGGCCGGAGCCCCCAGCTCCTCACTGGAAACTCCCTCTCTGTCCTGTTCCCACTGTGATGGCACTGGGTTTCCTTGCCCCTCACTGCTGCAAAGTTCAAATCCTACCGAGAGGGGCATGGGCCCCTGCCAGTCACCGCCCACAGGGCGGTCCCGGCACAGAGGACATGGGTGCCCGGGCACCCTGGGGAAGAGGAACAGCCACAACGAGCCCCGAGCAACGTCCGCTGGAATGGGAGACAGCGCACAGGAGAGGCCACGGGGGACTGGGGGACGCAGCGGCCCTTCAGGGACCCCGAGGCACACGCAGACTCGGGCTCACACCAGCAGACACCTGGGACAGTGGATCTGGTGCCCCAGAGCAGAGCTGAGCACCTACCAGGCCAGGCTCCCGCCCCATGTTCCCCGTCCTTACAGCCCTGCCCACCAGCCCGCAGGCCCTGGCCCTTCAGTGGCCGTCTCTGGGGCCTGTCCACTCTGCCGTTCCCAGTGCCCGTGTTGGCGCGAAGGCTGGCTCCCGTCTTAGAAGCTGACACTGCTGTGGATCTAGGTCCCGGCCCCAGAGCTGACTGGGCATGCCCAAGCCTCAGTTTCCTCGTCTGTGAGGCAGGGATAATGGCACCACCGACACTCTGAGGGTTTCAAAGATGCAATGAACTGTTGGGTGTAGGGCAGCCCGAGGAGGGCAGGTGGGCAGCACTCCCAGGCCCTGCCCCCCAGGCCCTCCCGTACATCTGTGTCATGGCGTGATGTGGGCAGGTGTGGGGGTTCTGCCAGCTGCCCCCGCACGCACATGGCACAGCCATGCCCCTGGATGGCTCACATGCTCCCTTGCTCAGAAGCCCCTCCCTGCTCTGTCACGAGGGTACCTCCCCCAGTGTCACTTCCTCTGCCTTTTTCACACTCTGCCCACCCTCGGGTTATGGAGTCTGAGTACCAGGAGGTGTTGGGGCTTATTCAGGCCTGGAGATCTTAAACCACTCCTGTCAGCCCCGTGGGCATGGCTCAGGGGCTGAGCGCCAAACTACGAACCAGGAGGTCAGCATTAGATTCCCGGGTTGAGGCTCGATCCCCAGTGGGAGGCTTGCAGGAGGCAGCTGATTGATGATTCTCTCATCACTGATGTTTCTCTCTCGCTCTCCCTTCCTCTCTGAAGTCAATAAAAATGATGATAATAATAATAATAATAATAATAATAAAAAACCTTTAAAAAAAGGTTTAGTTAGGAATAGGCAGCCACAGCATGAAGTGGAGAGCAGGGATGTGGTGGGACCAGCTTCAGGAGAGGTGTGGCTCTGCTGCCCCGTGCCCTTCCGACCCCGTTCCCTGGTCCCGACCGGGGTAGGAGGGTGAGGGGACTCAGAGCAAGGGAGCGGCAGGGAGCTGCCCTGAGGCCTCGGCCAGGCCAGGGGCACCTCACTGAGGCCTCGGCCGTTTGGGGCTCATGTGCTGCTGGGAGGCGGCACAGATGCTGAGGAGAGGGGACAGCTAGCGGGGGGACCACACCTGCCTGGGTGTGCCTTGCTCTGCTCAGGCTGCTCCCCGTGCTGCAGGCTGTGGAGGCTTCGAGGCAGGATGGCCCTGTGCAGCAGGCAGCATCCCCCCCCCCCCCCGACACACACACACACACACACACTCAGGCCCCACACTGCCAGCCGCGCAGCCTCGGAAACAGGAAGCAGTGCAGGCCGGGCCTCGGCCCCCTGTGCTGCCTCACAGTGGCTGGGGACTGGGTGGAAACAAGACAAACCTACTTGCTAAACTACGTAGACGTTTGGGGAAGGAGGAAGCACCCTCTCTAGCTTGGTTGCTATGGGAACGTTTCTGCATCAACTACAAGAGGAAGAGACATTCCCTCTGGCCAGAGCAGCCCCCCTCCACAGCCCTCCTGCCAGAGCAGCCACACCTGCAGGGAAGCCTGGAGCTCTGGGCACTCAGAGCTGAGCCGGCCTCAGCCTCCACGGACACATGGCGCCTGTTTCCCTGGACCCTCTGCCCAGGAAGAGATGGCCCGTGCCTCCCCATAGGGATGGCACTGTCTCAGAGGGCCTCATGCCCCAGGCCAACCACAGCCTCCATGTCTTCCCTGTCCCCATCCGCCCATCCCCATGCTGAGACCTGTGCAGGGACAGGCCCCTGGGCTCAGGCCAGGACTCCCTGGGCAGGGGGGCACAGGACCTCAACCAACAACACCGGCTACTCTGGCTGTTTTGGCAAAAACCAGATGACCCAAGGGGGAGGTTGGGAGACGGGGGGTGGAGCAGGGGCCTTCGGCAAGGTGCTGGGCTGCTGGAGCAGAGCGCTGCCAGAGCACGGACCTGCGAGGAGACAGCGAGGAGAAGGGGGCGGGGCAGTCCCTCCCTTGGGTGCCTCCAGCATCTTCCCGCACGCCCCAGGGGCTTAGCCTGTCCAGTCTCGGGAGCTCTGAGGGCCCCAGTTGGTCTCCTCCTCTTCGCCTGTCCTTGCTGACAGCACCCACCCTCCCAGTGGGAGCCCTGCCTCCAGCCCCCAGACTCCTTGAGGCTTCTCCATCCCCTGCTCCCCCCGCCCCAATGCCCAGAGCGTCCTGCACGAGGGGCCATGCATGCGGGCTCTGCTGAGCCTCCCAGCCCCAGCCTGGGCCCTGCGTAGGCCACGCTGGCTGGGCCAGAGCATGCTTGGGGCCACCTGCTAAGGGAGAAGGCGTGAAGGGAACCATCCACCAGAGCTCACAGCACCTCCTTCGCGCCGGGCAGGCCGGCCAGGACTCCGGGAGGAACGCTGGGACCCCACGTGGCACTCGCGGAGGGAGGCCACTGCAGCCTGTGTGTGCACAAAGGCAGGCCCACGTAAGTGCTCACCCCACGCACAACGCAATGCAGGGTAGCGACGCAGAGAGTGGGCCAGCCTCTACTTCTCACAGTAAAGTCCAAGACTTCGTGTCAGAGGAAAAAGCAAGTTGCCCAAAAACACCCTCCTCCCCCACATACACACACGCAATTTTTAAAGCTGCATGACAAATGCGGCTGATTACACACACATCAGAAAACAAAGAACAGCTCGCCACTCACGCAATCCCTCTGAGGAGGACACGGCGCCAGAAGAGCAGAGCAGGCGCCTGCTCAGCAAGTGTCGGACTGTGTCACTGGAAACAGGAGGGGCCCCTCGCCTGGGCCAGCCTCTCAGGGAGTAACACCAAGGCGGGCCCTGTGGGTGGCCCAGGACAGGGGTTGCTTAGAGGGCTGGCAGGCGCGGGGCTCCCAGCTCCAGCGCCCCCAGCTGGCCGCAAGAGGCTCACAGCCTGGGAGAGGAAGGCCATCGACCCCGACACCCACCGCCGCTCTCAGGGGGGCCCTCACTGTCCATCCGCTTCCAGCACCAGCCTCGGCCATTGCCTCCCGGCTCCTGTCCACGTCACCCGCTCTTCACCTCTCTACGTGCAACAAGGAGCCCGGGAGGGCACAGGAGAACCACCGCTCAGCGGGCCCTGGACTTGCCAGAGCTATCCCAGCAGGAGCTGGCTGTGCTGAGGGGGGCGGGGGGACTCGGCGGAGCAGAATGCAGTGCCATCTGTCTGCAGGACAGAGAGAACGAGGAAGGGACGCAGGTCCCAGGGCCTCGGGGATGGGAGACACAGGCCTTGGTGCAGGGCCCGTCCTGCCCAGTGGTGGGTTCCCTCTGCAGAGGGTGTGAGGGCTGGAAGGCCCTGGAAGCCCAGCCACTCGCCACTTGTTTGTAAGCAGCAGCAGCCTCAGTCCTTCCGTCAGAGCCCCTGGGGACTGGCGCAGGGCCCAGGGCTGCCCGGGAGGAAGCAGGGCCGTGGGCGGGGAGCCCTCCCCACTCGCTGCCCGCTCCGGAGCACACCCCGAGCTCGCGCATGCCTCTCCATGACAAGCAGACCGGTGCCCGCAGCGGGCAGCAACGTGCCAGGAGCCCCTCAGCAAGCACGGCCCCACGCCTGAGCCTGGCGCACTCTGCTGCACCACCGTGCCTGCCCTGAGGGAGCCACAGACCCGCGGTCCCGGGAGTGCCCCCAGGGTCCGTGCGCACGCCCTGTGGAAAGCAAGGCAGCGAGCAGCCTGGAACCCACAGGCCAAGTACTCACGTTGAAGAAATTGGTCTTGTTCCTCTCACAGAAGAGCCCCTGTGCCGGCATGTGCTGCAGCTGTTGCCACGGGATACTGCTGCCTAGCAACACGTCGCGGGCCCACTGGAGGTTCTGGGGAGACAAAAAGTAGGTTGGAAGTGAGTGTGTGGGCAGCTCAGGGCACCCACGGGAAGGGAGGCTGCACTGGCAACGCAGCCGGAGCAGCAGCTCCGCCGACATCGACCCGGCGGCTCCCGGAGCTCAGCCGGGCTGCCGGCCTGGGCACCTGCTGGGAGCAGGTTCCGGGACCGAGATCCTGCCCAGCGCAGCTGACAGGAGAGGTGGCCTCAGACTGCCCAAGGAGGGCCCGCACCCTGGCCGACCTGTAACGCAAGGGCCCAGTGCCCACTTTCTGCGGGGAGACCCCCACTAGCCCAAAGGGGCCAGGGCCTGTGAGCTTCCGGGAAGGGTTCTGTCCAAGTGCCCAGGCCCGTGCTTTCTGGGCAATGGTGGCCGTCTGGGCGAGAAGAGTGTGCTGGCCTCAGTGGTGCCGGGGGGCAGAGTGCAGCAGGGAGAACTTGATGGTCTGGCCTTCTCACTGAACCGGAAAGCAGCCCTTCCCACACCCACCGGTGGGCCACCTCCCTCCACTGGTCGGAGCCAGGGCTGGCTCCGAGCGCCTGCATGTCCATTTCACGCACTCAGGACAGAGCTGGCTGCAGGGAGCCTGCGGGGCAGAGTGGAGCCTGAGCCCAGGCCTGCACAATGCCGAACGGTTTTTCCACAGCCCCCACCCGGCTCCATCCCCAGCCAGCCAGTCCTCCCCTCCACCCCCAGCAGGTGCCCCTGCACTGGGCCAGTCCGCACCCCCCACCCCGTGTCCCACCTACTGTGAGCCCCTCCCCTTCTCAGCCTGCAAGCCACTCCCGCGGGGCCAGGCGGAACCTGGGAAATAGTTCCTTTGGTCATGACTTTAGACAGAAGCGCAAACCCGGCTCCCTGGCGTGCTGGGGAGACACCAGCCCAAGGCTGCTGAGGGCAATGGGTGCTCCCCGCCCACACAGGAGGCCCAGGCGCAGGCCAGAGCTATGACCCCCACACCTCTTCTGGGGCGTGTTGGGGCCTTGTGGGAAGTATCCGGGTAACCCCTTGAAGGAGCAGCAGTCTTTGGGGGGCTCTATGGGGGAACAAGGTTTGAAGGAGCACCTCTGCCGTGGCCATCATGTTCTTAAGAATCCCAAACAATAAAGCCGGCAGAGCCTTCCTGCTGGGGGGCACGCAGCGCAGTAAGGAGCTGAGGGAGGCAGCAGGCGGGGCCCAGGGCTCTCAGACCTGAGAGCCAGGCCCCTGGGGAGAGCGCAAGCAGCACTGGCCTCCAACCCAAGCAGGGCGGCAATTAGCCTCCCGCAGACAGGCTGGCACCCCGCAGGGAGCGTGCGCCTGGCCTGAGGCCGCCGGGGGAGAGCCGGTCGATAGCGAAGGCACAGAGTGTCCAGTCAGCCTTTGCGTCTGAGGCCCAGAGGGGAGCTGGCAAAGACCAGGCTGGGGGTGAGGCGGGCGGCTAACCCGCATGCTGCCCAGAGCACAGGGCCCGGAGCAGGGAGGCGAGGCTCCGGGCCACGTGGGCTGAGAGAGCTCTAGCTCGTCGGTCGTCCATGGAGCCGTCCTTTCCACGAGGGGGTTTGGGAACGGAGGCTCAGACAGGCTCCCGAGCAAGCCCACGGCCTCGGAGCCAGGAAGGGGGAGCCAGGCAGAGGGACTGAGACGTGGGTGCTTCCCCTGCCCCACAGGGTGGGCGAATCGTTGTACCAATCTGTGTGCCTGGCCCAGAGCCGGCCACCAGGGGACTGCCCATGGCAGCTCTGACCCCTGCCCAGCGCCTCTGGCTCACCACCACCTCTGGGATGAGAGGAACACGGCAGCCAGAGTGTGGCACGGACCTCCCGGGACCCTCTGACAGGCAGAGCGTGCGAAATGCGCTGAGAAGGGCAGGCCGGGGAGGGGTTCCTCACCAGAGGCAGGGGCACCCCTTCTGCACTGCAGACGACCCCCCCCCCCCCAGTTCCTTCCGGTCTGTCAGCCCCTAGCCACACCTGCCTCTGCCCCACCCCACCCCACCCCCGCCTCTGAGTCAATTGGCACCAAGATTCCCCTCCCATCCCCCCGCCCCAGCCATCTTAAACAGCCTCTCCCACTGACTGGCCGGCAGCTCTGCTGTCTGCTCCTGCTGCCTGTCAGCCCCAGGAGGACAGGCCTTGGTCTGACTTCCCTCCTGATGGCTCCTCACGGCCAGGCCAGGATGAGGTCCACAGAGAGATGAGGCGGATCTTCCCGGAAAGGTCGGAAGGAAGGGAACAGAGCTGGAGCTTGCAGGAATGCCAGGCCCACAGGCCGAGAGGACAGCGTGCAGAGGAGGCCCAAGGGGGCCTTGGGGGGCGGGGGGTGCAAGCAAAGCTGTAGGAGGAGAGACAGCTGGAGAGCCCTGGGCTGGGAACCGGGAGCACGAGTCTGCCTTTCCCGAGTGACCCAGTCTGTCTACCCCGCCCCCACCCCCGCCCCCAGCAGCCACTCGGAGGCCCTGCTTGCACACATCTCCCCATGGGCCAGCACACCCGGCCAACAGGAGGATTCCCTCTGCGTCCCAGCACCTCCCACGGCTCCCACACTGTCGCTGCCAGCCAGCTGCAGAGCGAGTGAGCGAGCAGAGAAACACGCAGAACCACGCTGGAGGGGACACAGGACACCAGTGGTTCTGCCGCGTTCTGGTGGCGGGACAGTGAGCTGGTGGTCACTTCACTCTTCCGTCCAAGCTGCCACGGATTTGTCATGGCTGCGGCCGGCAGAGCACTCAGCCCAGGCCCACGCTGGAAGCACTCTCCCTGTGCACAGTGGTCAGGAAGGCACATCTCTTCTGGCCCCAGAGGCACAACCGAACCTTCAAACCATGTGGCCACCAGACTGAATGCATAGCTGAGATTCCCAAGCTGAGAAAATACTGAGTTTTCTCTTTGCAAACCACAGAGCTGGCAGGGACCTGCAGCAGCAGCCCAGGCTTCCGCACGGGGCCGGGCATGCGGCCCTCGTGGTGGGGCCCCTCTGTGTACAGAAAGGGCAGGCTGCAGGAAGGCACACCCTAAACACGGGGTCCAGGGAAGGACAGGCCTGTGACCAGGGGAGGCTGACCTACCTCTTCCTCATCTCGCTCCCTCAATCTCCTGGAAAATGAGCACCGGTCCCCTCCGGTGACAGCTTGGCACTAGCCAAAGGGCTTCATCCCACAGCAGCATGGCCGTGGGCCTCAGGCCCCGAGGTCCATGCCCTTGATCAGAATTGAACCCAGGACCCTCCAGTCACAGGCTGACTGAGCCACACCAGCTAGGGCTCAGGTGCACGTTTGTAATCTGCCCCTCGAACAGGGGGCGGAGACCGTGACGGGCACCGTCCCCACAGGGCCTCCGGGGAAGTGAGAGAGAGAATGCGCACCGCACCAACCCCTCCACAAACGGAGTGCCAGGCGGGAGGCCCGCGGGAGCTTAGGGGCTGAGCCTGGCGCTGGGAGAAGTGCTGCATCACCGCCTCCCGGAGAGCCGGGCGGCGGCAGCAGAGGCGGCGCAGATCTGGGGCCGCTGAGCCCCAGGCCGGCCGCGGCCGCGCTGAAAGGCCCTGCCGCAGCTGGAAGACACTGGCCCAGGGCAACAAGGCCAGGCCGAGAGGAGGGAGGCCTCCGCCCCTGGAAGCTGCACCCAAGCCTGCTGGGGGCGACGAGGGACCTGGCAGCGGAGTGTGAGGCATGACCCAGATCCTCAAGTCAGAGATGAGCCTCGGGGCCCTTCTCCTCCACCCACAAGCACCCTCACCTGTGGCCGGTCCCGGCCTCCCCACCAGCACCTGGAGCGGCCATCCCTGCACTTGCTTCTCCCATCCCCCAGCCAGGCCTCCAGGCCCGTCAGCAGCTCTCTGCCTTCGCCTGCTCCCCCGCTTCGAGCCACACTCACGCGGTGGGTCTTGCTGTGCGTGTAGAGGAAGGCCAGCCGGTACAGGCTCTTGTAGTGCTGCGGGAAGCGGCTGAGGCACAGGCGGAAGGCCGCGATGCACTGCTCCGTGAGGAACTGGCGCTGCTCCTCGGCCCCGGCCGGCAGCCCCTGCGGGAAGCCTGCGGGCTCCCCGGGGGCGTCCCCTCTCTTCCTGCCGTCCCACAGGGTGGGAGCCGATGCGGAGGCCTTGGCAGGGACGCAGGCAGCGGCCGGGGGGTCTGCGGCAGGCTTCTGGCCGCCCTGCTCCGTGGCTCGGAAGCCTTCTGTGCTCTCCAAGGACTCCTCGGGTCTCCCTAGTGACAAGGGAACAGACAGGCCCTCAGCGTCAGGCTCTGCCCCGAGGGGTCCATCCCCCCCGGCGGGGGCCCTCGAGGAGGGGCAGCTCGGCTCCGCTCCTGAGACAGGGCACCCAGCTGGCACACAGAGGGGCCTGAGAAGGATGGGGCTGGGCTCTGTGCAGGTGCGCATGGAAGCAGCCCACAGGGCGGAGTGGCTGCCACCGCTGCATAACGCAACAGCGGGAGAGGCACCCAAAGGCTGCACCTGCTCCCCACGCAGCGCTGCAGCCCACAGACCCCGCACCCAGATCCAGGCGGCGGCGGCGGCTGTGTGTGAGCACAAGCTCAGCACCGGGGCTCCCAGGCCTGCTCCCGGGGGAGGGAGGCAGCTCGGGAGCAGGTGCCGGGCAGCAGGGCTGCAGAAGGCTGTCTGGTGGGCAGGAAGGGATAGAAGGCAGTGGGAGCAAGTATCAAGGGAGAGTTGGCCCCCGGCCCCCAGGCCCGGCACAGACTGCCTGGAGGAGGCAGGAGGAGCAGGCTGGTACTGACCCTACCTGTCCTGTGCACTGAGGCTTTCCCAGTGCTAATGGCTCAGGCCCCTGCCACACCCCCATACAGCTCCGGAAGCTGGATGCTCCGAGCCAGGCCTGTGCCGATAATCAACCTCCCCTGCCCATCACCTGCCTGGAGAGGCAGCACCGGGTAGAAGTTACAGGTGCAGACCAACCCTGGGCAAATTCCCACCCAGGCTGAGTCCCGGCTCCTCGCCTATAACATGGGAGTCAGCAGCGTGGTTAGGAGTTAAAACCGTGCCTGGCACAGACCCCCACACAGGGGTCTGGTGGTGGTGGTTGCTATTTGACAAGCACCTGTCTGGCCAGGCCAGAGCGGGAAAGCTTTCACAGCCCTTGGCTGGCTGACCAGTCCCGGCCTCCAGAAGCAGCACCGGGTTCCTGGACTGCATTCCTCTCCCAGCAAGCTGGCTATGGTGCTCTGCGCACAAGTCCCCAAAAGGGACTTGGGGACCCCAAAGGAGCTGGGCATACCCCTGGGTAAGTCAGCCCTACTCCCCACAAATAAAGGGAGACTTTCTTTTCCCAAAGATCTGATGTGATTCAGACTAAAACCCCACATTTGTGACATTTACAACCCAAAGACGTTTTAAAGAAACATTTAGCGAGAAGAAAAATAGGGCACCCCTGCGGGGGACATGGCAGATGCTTCCCTCCGTCTCTCCTCCTCCATCCCACTCTCTCTCTGAAAATCAGTGCAAAGGTATCCCTGGCGAGGACACCCCAGCAACCCGACCCCGAGAGAAGGCGCCACACCTCTTTCCTCCGGGGCCCCCGGAAGGTCTCTGCCGGCTGGTCCTGCTTGGGAACTGGGAACAGGTGGCCGCTTTTCAGCACAGGGTTTCCGGGCGCCCTCCGGCAAGCTGGGCGGCTCGTTGAAGAACTCCTGTGTGGAGCTGGAGTCCGAGAGGGCCACGGCCGTGCTGTCCTGGCTGCGCTCTGGGGAGAGAGGGAGGGAGGCGGCAGCATGAAACTACCGCGGCCCACAGGAGGGGCCGCCCTGCCAGAGGCTGTGCCTGCCCTGCGGGCTGGACCGGCCTGAGCACAGCCGCTGCTCCTGCCGAGCCGATGCCCTATAGCCGAGCCCTCACCAAAGGCCCCTCTCCATGGTCCCTCCTGGGGGTGCCCCCAGCAAGGCATCTGGCCAATGTTTAACAAGCGGCTCCTGGAGGCGGGAAAAGCCCTCGTTTGCAGCTATTATCGCTTCTGTGGGATAAACACTCCCCTCACTGGTTCCCGGCTTCCAGGGTGATGCTGCTGAGCGGGGAGGGGGCGGGGGGACGCAGAGCAGGACCTGTGAGGCGGCCACCGCCTCCATATCATGGGCACCAACAACTGAGTATTAGAACTCAGCAAACACGGTTAGCCAGCGCTCAAGGCCAAGCACCATCTGGCGCAAGAGCACAGGTGCCGGGAGCCGCAGGGGCAGGGAGGCGGCGCCTTCTTGCTGGCTCCCTCCTCAGGCCGCACAGGTGCTCCTGGCAAGCGTGCTGGGCACAGGCCAGCAGAGAGGAGTGGCCACTGCCTGGAGGCCTGCAGCCTGGCTGGCCTCTCTCCCTAAGGAGAAAGCCAGGGGCCAGTGGGGGGCACACCTGTGCCTCGGGACAGGGGACCCTGCAGCGGAAGAAGAGGAGAGCCGGCCTGAGGGAGGAACGAGTCACTGACCCTCCACCCCCACGCAGGGCACAGCCTGCCTAAGTCTGCGGCTGGACCAAGCCCCACCTGCCCTCCTGCTACTGAGGGTGAATGACAGGACAAGCACCAACTGCAGACAGAGGGGCAGGGACATGGGCAGGAGAAGGCGGGAATGGAACCTAAAACATCCCACAAACCAGCTCCCACGTTAAGCATGAAATCACATCAGAGGAATGGGAAGCTGAGGGCAAGACTGGCAACAAAATGCAAAGCCGGCTCAACAGGTCAAAGCCGGACTCCGGGAGGCCGGCTGCTCTGCAGCTGACGGGGAGCCTGCACGATGCCCCTCTCCCCTCGTCCAGTCCCTCATGTGAGTAACTGGGAACAAGTGCCCCCTTCCCAGGGCTGTCTGAGGACTAACAGGTTAATCCACATGAAGTGCACAGAACAGGGCCTGACGGCAGTGAACACTAACAGAAGGCCAGCTGGGACCCCTCTGCCTCACATTCAGTAAGGCCAGACCCCAAGCTCCGTAAGCATGACGGGATTGCAGGAAGGCCTGCAGCCCCGGGAGTCCCACCAGTCCCCAGTGGGAGGTCAGCCTCCCAGAGGCAGTGCCGCCCGTTCTGTGTGGGAGGGAGGGCCAGGGGCAGAGACCTTGGCCCCAGAGGCCATGTAGGTCCCTGCAGAGCTCAGCACCAGCAGGTCCACACCTGCCTCCAACCCCAGACCTGCCCCTGGGCTGCTGCAGGCTCCACCTGACACTGTTTAACACGTTTGTCACTCCTCCCTGCCTCTGCCTCTGCCCCTGACACACAGGGAATCCCACAGGGCCCGGGTGCCGGGCACGTGACAGGAGCGATGGCCGTAAAGCTAAGGAGTCGGCTGGGCATCGGGCGGGGCGGCCCCGCAACAGCACGGCGCCAGGTGGAGGCACTGCACGGTTGCGGGCAAGCAGCCAGGCAGCAGCCCGGCTGAGAGCATGAGCGCTGGCACGCTGCCCAACGAGCGCAGGCACGCACAGCGGCTGGGCCCTGGGCCTGAAGAGCTGCTAATCTGGAGGGATCCGGTGCGAGCGTTACGGAATCAGGGACTGGGGAAGCAAGCGGATATTGACTCCCAACGGCTAACGGCCTCGCGCTGCTGCTGTCAGTGAGCCTCCCAGCACCGAGCGCGGCAAAGGCAGCAGCCACACCGAGGGGCGGGCGCCAATGGGTGCCCTGGGCTTCCGGGCCTGCTCCCCGGGACCATTCCACCCACAGCAACGGCCACCGCCGAAGAGCACGACTAAGTGAGCACGGGACCTGGGAACAGAGGGGAAAACCCACACTCGATCATCTCCGTGACCGGCTGTGGCCTGAACAGGGTTTTTATTTTGGGTAATCCTCACCTAAGAATATTTTTTCATTGATTTTATTTATTTATTTATTTTTTTAGAGAGAGTGGAAGGGGTGGGGGACAGAAACACACACATCTGTGCCCCGACTGGAGTGGGGCTCAAACCTGCAACCCAGGTACATTCCCTTGACCGGGAATCGAACCTGCGACCCTTCGGTGCACAGGCGGACACTCTCGCCACTGGGGAAGAATGAAGGAGAACGAATGAGGTCACTGGCTCCGCCCTCCGACAGCCTCTCTCCCTGCCCCACGCCAGTTCCACTGGGAGGGGGACACACAAGACGAACTGAGCTGCACTCGGAGTCCCCTCAACTTTGAGGGGTCTGCCCATGGACACAGCCTCCTGCCTCCTGGACTGGAGCAGGGACCAGGCAGCCTGCCCTCTGGCGTTGACTGCCCTCGGGGCTTCTCCTCTAGCACCTGGGCGACTGCGCACCATCTGTACTGCACACGGTCCTTACAGAGGGAGCTGGGATCTTGGAGTCTGCTGCCTTTGCTGTTTCTTTAAAGCAGGAAAGAGCGAAGCAATGGGAACACAGGACTGAGACACCTGCGGGCACCAGGCAGGAGGGCGGGCGGGCAAGTGGAGGCCACAGGTGCCCTGAATCCGCCCAGAGCGGGGAGATGGCCGGGGCAGAAGCCAAGCACATTGAACAGATCACAGGCCAGCAGGTGTGCGGGCGTGTCAAGGGGAGCAGGGAGCCAGACTGAGGGCGGAGCATGCGGTCTGCACTGTCCCCTGAAGCGAGCCGTGACCGTGCAGGCACAGACAAAGCCTTGAGACAGAGTGTGGGCGGGTTAGGGGCAGCACGGGCAATGCTGACGGAGGAGGTGGGCGAGCAGCGGGCGTGGGCACACAGGACACGACACAGACGGTGACACATGGCACGTGAGGATGAATGTCGCATGGGGGTGGCACAGGCTCTGGCTCTCCCAGAAGGCCCACCTAGCCCACAGCATGACCGCAGGACATGCCATCCAGTGCAGCTGACCACACAGGAGCCACGCTAGGCAGCCCTGTAACTGGGTCAGGGCAGCCTCTGTTCATGCCATAAATGGGCACCCCGAAACCATGGACAGCAGCCCCTCCCGCCCCGACTCCTCTGACCCTGCCTGGTCCCTGCTGCCCGCCCTCATAGGAAACACCCGGGTCCTGGCTAAGCATGGCTTTCTCAGGAGCTTCCCGCCCCACCAAGAGACCAGCCCGGCCTCTGGGACTTGCAGCTGCACCAGCCACAGGCCTGCATCACTGCTCCTCCTGGCCTCCCCTCCTAAGAGCCCGCGCAGGGCTTCCTGGCACACGGGCTGGGCTGAGCACAGTGGCCATGGCGTCTCAGTGGCTCCATCTCACTGACAGGAACCACCTTTTCACAATTATTGGCAACACCTGTGCACGGCTCCCTCTGCAAACACCCACAACCAATGCCCTCACACTGGCAGCCAGGCGCTCACCACAGCTCCGGCACGTGTGCGCCGACATGGGATGCTGAGGCGGTGCCGGGGGCACCACAGCCCCCGCCTGTGGCAGTCCTGCCTCGTCCTCTGCTCTCCCCGGGTGCCCACACCAGAGAGGGACCCCCAGCTCTGCGGACAGAGCCCAGCACAATCCTGCTCCCTGCATTTGGCTCGAGCCTGAGGGCTGAGGAGGGCACAGTCCAGGCTGGGGCCAGGTGAGGGCAGCCCTCCCTCCTAAGACCCACAGGTGCTGAAGCGACGGGAAGCGCTGGGAGAACGAACCCGGGACGGGAGGGACAAGGACCGCGCTTGGGAATGTCTCAGGGGGCAGCCTGGAGGAGCAGAGACGAGAGGGAGGTGACAGCCACCAGCACACTGGGGTCTGCAGCCTCTCTCCACACTCACCTGGGCCCACCTGAGCCCCGGAGGGACGCTTGCAGGCTTCCCTGCCCCTCAGGTCACCTGTCCCCTGGCCCCTCTCCGCCAGCTCTTCTCTAAGCCTGCTTTCCACCCGTTCCTCGATGCCCTGGGGAAGGCAGAGCGAGGCCCATCCCACAGCCCCAGGGAGATGGTGCCATCAGCACTGCCACCTCCTCCACGGGCTCTGCTCTAAAGGCCCTCTGCGTCTGCCAGTTTGGCTCACTCTGGCCAATACCCCGTCCCCAGCTTATCCTTGACACGTGAGAGCATGAAGTCGAGCTGCGAGGGCACATGCGAGCCTCCAGATGTTAGTAAGGAATGTGGTTGGACAGTCGCCACCTGCCCCACCCCACATGGATGGCCTTGTGTGGTCCCAGCTGAGACCCCCCAACCTGTCTAGATTCCCAGGGGTGCCGACAGTCAGCCTGCCCATGGCCGCCAGAAGGGCATGCCATAATAGTGCAGCCGACTGCACAGGAGCCATGCTAGGCAGCCCGCAGACTGACAGCAAGCCCCCCAACTGCCTTCCAGGCCCCCAATTTGCAGGGGGGAGAATGCAAGCTCCGAGAGGCAGGCACGGAGCGTTAGCCCCCCTCATCCCCCCGGCTCCCAGTGGGCGAGCTGGCAGGTGGCGACCCTGGGCACGTCTCGAAGCACAGAATCACCGTGAGTCCATGAGGTTAATGAACAGCCACAACATTGCCCGTGTCACCCCAGACCCAGCACCCCCCTCACCGAGACAAAGCGACTCATCGCCCAAAGCTCCCGCCCCCGACTGGCGTGCCGCCTGGGCTGGCAGTAGGGAGAACAGGGACTGTACCGTCCGGCGTCGCCTGCTGATGGGGTTTTTTACATTTGACGTAATCGTGGTCAATCGGAGTGGCTGTGTAAGGTGGGGATGTCAGACCTGGGCCAGAGGAGGAGGGAAGGGAGGCTCCGGGGCCCGGCAGTGTCCCAGCTGAAGAGCGGGAGTCCTCGTCCACCAGGCAGGCCTTCTCCCTGTGGGGCAGAGGGAGCAGGTCAGAAGCTCCACATGGCACTAAGGACATGAGCAAGGCTGGACAAGGCCCCTCCCAGCTGTCGAGTCCCCAAGCCACCCTTCCCGGGGCCCAGCTCCCCAGCACACCCCAGACCTCTGGTTGGTCTTCCAGGCCCCAAATGAGTGGCCCCGCTCAGGTCCAATCCCCCGACATGGCTGGGCTCTGCAGGCGGCTGTCTGCAGAGCCCAGCCATGTCGTCCAGTCCTCCAGTCTCCAGGCCCCAGAGACTGGAAGACTGGACAAGGCCCACCCAGCGCCCCCCACACCATGACAGGTCCTTCTGAGCGATGCTGAAGCCGGGACTAACCCCCGGCCAGGGCAGTGAGAGGACACCTGCTCTCGTGCCTGGGACGTCGCTGCAACCCCGCTGAGCAGAGCTGCCGACACCTGTCATGTCGCCATGGCCACGGAAACAAGGGCATCCCTGCCTCGCCCAGGGCAGCCACCGGCCACCGGCAGCTGCTAGGAAGCTGTCATGTGATTTCACAGAAAGAATGAGGAGGCGGGCACTATCTGTGGATGGGTCCCAGGCCCACTGTCAGGGAAAAGAAGACTCTAGAAAAACACCCCCACAGCAGCCAGGCCGGGAGCGGCAGTGGCCAAACCCGGATCAGCTGGTTGTGGAACGGACCAGAGCAACAGAGGCCAGGCCCGGAGAAGCCAGGCCCGAAACAGCTCACTCCTCGCCTGCCCCCGCCCCAGGGCTGCCTCTCAGACGTGGCTGGAAACTTTTGCGGGAACTTGAGGGTCTGCTGAATCAAGTGATGAAGGCTTAGATCTGGATGTGTTGAGTTAGTATAGCGCTGGGGTGTTGATCTGTGAGTGCCTTGTGTGGGGCCTGGATGAGGTTGGTTGATCTATTTGGAAATGTCTTTTGTGTGAAGTGTATCCCTGGGCATGTGGAGGTATTATTGATTTGAGAAAATGCTAAGTAACTGATTTACTACCTGAAAAATTTAAAGTTCTGAAAGTTTAAGGTCTCTTGCCAAAAAGAGGTTTTAAAGCTAACACCTTAATTTTAATGGAGAAAGGGGAAGACAAGCCCTTCCCACCCAGAACAGGTAATCCAATTCCAACCAGCACCTATCTTTAAACAATGTGTCCATTTACACTTGAATGGCTATACCTTTTGATAGCCTAAGGGCAAGTTTACATGTAAACAAGTTTGCTTCTCAATTCCCAGGGCAGAAAAAAAAATTTTTTTAATTATCAGATTTTAAAATTTATTCTTAGAAGTGTAAAAGTTTATTAATAAAAAACAACAACAAAAAGGAGATTGAAAAACCTGATGAACAATATTAGCTGTTGATTGTAGTAGAGCCGGCAATATGGGAGGGGAAAGGGGGAGTGGTGGATGAGGGAAGAGACTGAACATAAACTGTGCACCCATGGATGAGGACAATGGGAGGTGGGGAGGGGGCTGAGGGTGGGGTGGGAACCTGGTGGAGGGGGGAAGAAATGAGGAACCTTTGTATTAATAATAATATGAACAATAAAGATTGATTTAAAAAAACAAAAACAAAACACCCACAGTATTCGTTTTCATCAGAGAAGCACTTTCACATACAAGTACATACAAGATTGTACTTGTATGTGAAAGTGTGCACATGCACAGAAAACGGCTTGAGAAGCTGGACAGTGAAGAGTGATTAACTCTGGGGAGGAGAAGGGTTTGTCTATATGCTTATAAACTGTCCGAGTTTTCTATAACTAGAATATATTCATGTGTCATTTGTATTACTTTTAAACTTTTTGAAAAAGAAGAGAAACAAAAGATAACATCACTAAATTGGGAGCCCTTTGTGACTAAAAAATATGTCTAACTTTGGGGCATCCTGCGTCCCCCGATGTGACCTGCCACGTGTGCGTCCATCCCCGTTAGCCTGTGCTCGAGGCCAGGGCCTGGCGCTGGCCCCTGTGGACTCAGCTGAGCCCTGCCCAAGCTCCAAGAGCTCTGGCCTCTGTGGCAGCCCTGCTCGGCGCGCCCCGGCCATGACGAGCGGCTGGAGGAGGTGCCACTCACTTTTCTGATGCTTTGGGCGTGTTCTTCTCCTCGCCCCTGGCGAAGGGCCCTTCGGCAGCCTCCTTCATGAAGCTGAGCAGGACCTCGGCGCCAACCCCCAGCTCGGGCTTCCCCAGGAGCTTCAGGACGGAGGCGTGGAGCCGGAAGTACACCTAAGGGGTACACTCAGACGTGAGCAGCCCCCCAGGGGCTCAGGTCGATCCCCAGGCCAGTCAGCCACACAGGAAGTGGGACCCAGCGGCTCGAAGCCACTCAGCATGGAGCATTGTAAAAAGGCAAATTTTTTAAATGAGAAGTTTTGCTTGCTCACAAGATTATCAAATTTTAAGAGAGGATACCAGCTAAGCTGATGAAAAACATGGAAGTTCATAGATCGGTACAACCTTTTGGGGCAAATGTTAAATGACCCTTGGAAATAAGCTGACCCTTGAACCATCCGTGCTGACTGGGCAGAGAGACGCATACGTGGATCTTCCTCAGTTGAGCCGTGCAGCTCGAACCCATGTTGCTCCTGGGTCAGCTGGCGGCTGGGGACCTGAGTGTGTGCAGGGCCAGCTGTAGGTGTATGTGATCTCCCACCACACAGGCAGCGGCGCCCGAACCTCTCACCGTGCCAGGGACAACTGTGCTCAGTGTGTGCTCCCTGACACGTGTCCACAGTGTGTGCTCCCTGGCGCGTGTCCACAGCTACACCCTGACTGACTCGTCATGGACTAAGTGGGAGAGAGGCCAAACCCAGGAAGAAAGGGCCAGGCAAATACGTGGATGCCCAGCCAGACTGAGGGCACAGGACAGGGAAGGGAGCCACATGCCTCCCACTGCATGGTGTCCAGTGAGAGAGGCACGGTGCTGAGTATGATGTCTCCATTGTCAATAAGAAGAGCATCCAGAGAGGCAGGCATGCCCACACTGGACACAGGTATGCTGGGTGGGGGGACTGAATCATGGGGGACTTCAACTGTTCGTTTTGAACACTTCTCAACTGTTTGATTCTTATATATGTTCTTGAACCAAGAATATGTGTTAATTTTATCTTTTAAAATCCTTACTCAGGGGGATGTTTTTCACTGGTATTGGTGGGGAGGGGAGGCGCAGAGAACGAGAACCAATCAGGATTGAACCTGAAAACTGGGCATGTGCCCTGACTGGGAATCAAACCTGCCACCTTCCGTGCCCGCCCAACTAAGCTACACCGGCCAGGGCAAGGTCTATGTTACTTTGTAACCGGAAAAGACATGAAAAGGCATAAGCAAGTGGCTCTGCCCCAAATTCCCAGAAGCTGGGCCTGTACACACTGTGGGGAGGTGAGGAGGGCGAGGGGAGATGGAAGGGGGGGACCCAGGCTCTGGGCCTTGGAAAGTGGGGAGTCCTGGGTCAGGCCAAGTAATGTGGATCCACACCCATGTCCTAGCCTCCTCCCTACAGAATATGCTGGTCACGGCCACCCATCCACCGCGCAGGACTGCGTGAGCATCATGTGAAATGGCCCAGAAAACACAGCAGCACCGAGCAGCAAACATGCTCTCTGCTCTTGGGGGGCAGTGGGAGACCCCAAACCTGAGGTTAAGAGAACCGGCCACTCCCCTGGCTCCATCCTGCCTAGGCAGGCTGTCTCCTCTGCACCTGGAGCACAGGTGCCCGCTCCCTGATGCCTGCCAGCCGCAGGGGTGGTGCCTGCACTAGCGCCATTGGCCAAGCCCTCGGAACCCGCATGTGCTAACGAGGAGACGAGAACAAATAGCTCCCGCTCCCGGCAAGGATGGCACACCCCGAGAGCAAGCAGAAAGGCTGCTTCCGTTTAACTGCAAGAAGGTGTAAACACAGGGCTCCGCCGGGCAGCAGGGCGTCACTGGGACCGCAGGCCCCGTGCCCGGGGAAAGACCAGCCCGCCCTGGCCCTGCTTCCCCGCCCCGGGCTGGCACAGCGTCACCTCCAGGGCCTCCATAGCCAGCTCCGGCGGGTTGTGGTAGTGGATCTTCTTGGGGTAGCGGGCGGCCTCCTCATGCAGATAGTGGCCGGCCTGCCGGTAGTGCAGCAGGTAGACAGTGGGCGGCTGCTGCTGCTTCTCGGCCACCTTGCCCAGCATGTAGTGAATGAGCCACTCCTCCTCGTCCCCGTCCCCCTCGCAGCGCGCCGCCGACAGGAAGCAGTGCCTGGCGGTCTCCAGCATGCTGTCCCGCCGGCCCTCCATCTGCAACGAGACCCCGAGGCCAGACTGGCCTTAGCGCACAGAACCGGCACGACAGCTCAGGCCTGGCCCGTAGGACGCCGCTGCCTTCTTGGCTGATTAATCCTCTCACCAAGGCTCCAGAGGATGTCCAGCCCTCGGGTGCAACAGGACTGCCCACCCTCGCTCCCATGCTTCCCAGGCTTGGGGTGCTTATAAGAGGGCAGATCCCAGCCCCACCCCTGCTCACTGCCTGGGAGCCGGTGGGTCTGGAGCAGCGCCTCCGGGCCCCTCACCTGCTGCACGAGCTCGGAGGGCAGGTCGCCCCGCCACTGCTTCAGCTGGCGCGAGGCGAAGGCGTGCAGGGCGTAGGACATGGTGCCGTACTCGATCCACAGGGACAGGTTGGAGCTGTCGATCTCCAGGGCGCGGCGGAAGCTACTGAGGACAGGCGTGGCGTGCTTCCAGATGGGCCAGTCGCTCTTTAGCTCGTTGGAGTTCAGCTTGTCCTGAATGCGACTGGCCCGGGCCAGGGCCATGCCTGCCCAGGAGTCAAACCTGTGGTTGTGACAGAGGCACCAGTCAACACTCCGCTGTCTTTTGTTGTTGTTTGTCTTTTAATATATTTTTATCAATTTCAGAGGAAGGGAGAGAGAGATAAGACACATCAATGAGAGAATCATGGATCGGCTGCCTCCTGCACGCCCCACACTGGGGATCAAGCGTGTAACCCAGGCATGTGCCCTGAGCCCTGAGCCCTGAGCAGAGATTGAACCGTGACCTCCTGGTTCATAGGTCAATGGTCAACACTCAACCACTGAGCCACACAGCTGGGAGTACGAAGCACACGGGATGGGCGAGCTCCCTGCAGGCAGATGCGGTGGGCACCTCAGCCTTCCTCTGACCCAGTGGCTTCCCAAGAGGCTCTGTCCCTTGCTTCTCTTTTTATGGAGAGCCTTTCCCAGTAACTGTGGTGTCTAAGCCATCCCTCACTCCTCCCCCTTGGGCAGGGAAAGCCTCCTGAGCTGCAGGCACCGTGGCCGCCCACCCAGCCTGGCCTGCCCCCAGGTCCCTGGCCGCAGCCGCCGGGCACTCACCTGTCAGGGCAGATGCAGATGTCGTGCATGTAGAATCGGATCGCCTTGGACTGCTCTTTGTTTTTAAAGTGGTAGTCGGCCAGCAGGTAGTAGAGCTCATTCACCACCGCAGGGGAGGGGTCAGCCCCTTCTGGGAGGCATGGGACCTGCCAGGGGAGAGGGCAAGGGTCAAAGGAGGCAAAGCCAGGGACTCCACAGTGGCCAGTGATGCTTCAAACCTAGGACCGTTCACGTCAGATGGCTGAAGGAGAAGGTGATGGAACATGGCTCCTACCTCGGCCGAGGTGCCCTCAATGTAGGCAGAGACCCTGTCCATGCTCAGGGCCGGCCTCTCTGTGCGCGGCACTATGGTGGCGATTCTCTTCAGCAGGTTAGCCAGGTCAGCAGACACGGTGCTGGTCTTGTAGCTGTCAAACTCAGGAAGGGTCTTGGGCTTAAAATACTCAAACATAAAGAGGGCATCTTCCCAGATGAGGTCCACCTTGAAAACAGACAGAAAGCCAACCGCAGGGTGGTCAGGGAGGCACAAAGCTCCCCTGTCCTTCCCAGACCCCTGTGCCGGGAAAGCAGAGCAGTGACGGGTATAAGCCTGCTCCTTATAGAGCCCAGAGTGGGGCGTGCAGGGGGCAGCCAATCCATGGTTCTCTCTCATCGCGGATGTTTCTCCCTCTCCCTCTCCCTCTCCCTTCCTCTCTGGAATAAAATGTATTTTTGTAAAAAAGGAAGCGGATTTTATTAAAATCGCCATGCTGCGTTCTTGAATGATAAGGCAGCATTTGTAAAGCGCGTCCTGCAAGGTCGGACCCACCGGAGCACCTCCATCCTCCGGACGCATCCAACCTGGGCCTTCGAGGCCGCATGCCGGCGGACGACGCCCTCGGGTGCTGAGCCCCTCTCCCGGGGCGGGGGAGGGAATTGGGAGGGGGTACAGTGGGCCTGCGGGGGCGCCTCACCTGCGGGGCCGAGTGCTCCTCCAGGTACCTGGCCTTGCTCTTCTTGCTGGGGAAACTGTACAGGCAGTAGAAGCACTGCTCCAAGGCTGTCTCTAGCTCCTCCTTGTAGGGGTGTGTGTCCTCAGAGGTGGATTCCGCGAGTTCCTTCTGGAGCACTCGCACCTACAGGGGTGGGCGGGAAGAGATGCCTGAGGAGCCTGTTAACTTGATGAGGGGGCCTGTCCACTTGGGCCTTTTCTGGAAAGGGCGTGGACCCTCCCGGGAGCCGCGCTGCCCAGCTCTCACAGTGGCCTTCCTCTCAGCACGCCCAGGCAGCTTGTCAGCTGCTAGAGGAGGCATTACACACCCTCTGAGAAATTCTGATTTATCTAGCCATTCATTTCTCCTCAGATATGTACTGAGCACCTTCCTATGTGGGCACAGTCAGCATAGTCCCTGCTTTTAAGAAGCTCAGATTCTGCCCGACCAGAGTGGCTCAGTGGTTGAGTGTCAGTTGACCTATGAACCAGGAGGTCATGGTTCGATTCCCAGTCAGGACACATGCCCGGTTGGGGGTTTGACCCCCGATGTGGGGCATGCAGGAGGCAGTTGATCAATGACTCTCTCTCATCATGGATGTTGTATCTCCCTCTCCCTTTCGCTCTGAAATCAATAAAAACATATTAAAAAGAGAAACTAAGATTCCAATGGAGGGCAGTTAGTTACACAAATTAATCACTATTGTTATGCCCAATTACTAGCAAGTATACATTCTTTTCAAACATCCATGAGATCTTGACCAAAACTAGACAAGAAGCAAATCTCAACAAATACCACAGACCAGATAGGATACAGACAACATTCTCTGAACATAGCTCAATAAAATTAGAAGTCAATTACATAAAGATAGCAAACACCAAATGTCAAAACTATGGTATGTGGCCGAAACCGGTTTGGCTCAGTGGTAGAGCATCGGTCTGTGGACTGAAAGATCCCAGGTTCGATTCCGGTGAGGGGCATGTACGTTGGTTGCGGGCACATCCCCAGTAGGGGGTGGGCAAGAGGCAGCTGGTTGGTGTTTCTCTCTCATCGACGTTTCTAGCTCTCTATCCCTCTCCCTTCCTCTCTGTAAAAAATCAATAAAAAATATATTAAAACAAAAACAAAAAAAAACAACAACTATGGTATGTGGCTAAAAATGTACTTGGGAAAAAATTATAACCTTTACCCAGACCATATGGACTCTATCAGAGCTAATCAACCTGCTACTGCACTGCAAACCCCGCCTGGTTAACATTAATATGCAAACGATGAGTGTGGCTATGTTCCACTACAACATTTACTAACAGACATTACCTGCTGAGCTAGGTGCCTCTCCTGTGATCTGTACCTTGTCTAAGTGCTGCTTGGCCTCGGACGCAACAGTAAGATTTGGGGACGGGCATGATGCTGCTATCACCAGTAAGCCACCAGTCACAGCGGGCGAGGGAGAGGAAGTCTATTTTGCTCACAAAATATGTCTTTACTGACTGAATGAATGCAGTAGCTACTCACTGAGCAACTCCCACCTGGCATGGGAGTGTGCTGGGCACACAGGACTCAATGGGAGGTGGTGAATGCAGTATGTACTTCTAAAGTTACTACCGTGTTTCCCCAAAAATAAGACATCCTCCGAAAATAAGACCTAGCGCAACTTTGGGAGAAAAAATTAATATAAGACACTGTCTTATTTTCGGGGAAACGGTATTAAAGGCCTGGCCCTGTGCCCAACACGTAACAGACTCGGTAACAACTAGTGGGTCTAAGTCTACCTACAGTTCAAGGCCAGGTCCAGAGCCCCTAGCCTCGGGTGACAGGATGCCACATGCAGGCTTTCTCAAAACTTGGAGTCGTTACATCTGTGCCACAAGTTAAAACAGCACAGTCGGGATCCCCCCACCCGCCCCCCCAGCGGCAGGCCACGCAAGCCCCGCAGCACTCACGTAGAACCGCAGCAGCGCCCCGTCCGAATTGCAGCACCAGGACCTCCGGCCCAAGTACTCGTGGGCAGTGTTGAGCAGCATGAGGGAGGATGGGAGCATGGACGTCTCGGCCATCGCTGGGGAGAGACCAGACGACAGGCAGTGAGCGAGCGGCGCACAGAGGGAGCTGCAGGCTCAGCCTCTCCTGTGCGGCTGTGCTTTCATTACCAAGGTAGCCACAGAGCTGCTTTCTTTCCTTCCTTCTTTATCTTGTAAAACAAGCAGTGGCCTGACTGGCTTACTAAGCCACGCAGACCCTGCAGCGTGTACAGGAGAAACGCTTCCCCCACATTTGAGGAGCAGACATTTGGGGAGCATCTCGGGGGGGTCTATCTGTGCACAGGAAGCCTTTGGAAGGGGAAGTGACAGCTGGGGCTTGGAACCACGTTGCCTCCAGCCATCCACATGCAGGCCTCCCTGGCCCACACCCGGCGGAGCGGCTCAGTGAAGTGGTTTAGGTGGAAGGGCTGGCACAGGCCACCCATCTCGCTGGGCTCTTGTGGGGATCGAAGAGGTTAGCAGGTCCGAGGCCTCAGAGCACCAGCGGCGCCTTCATAAGCACTTGCCTCGCTGTCGTGTCCTCTGCAGCCACTGCACAGACATGTGACATCCCACACGCCACTGACCAACCCCACTGCACAGTGAGCTCGCTCCCTAGGAAGCCTCTGCCTCTGTCCGGGGCCCCCGAAACCCTGTCAACGATGCCTCCCACCATCACAGCCCCGGGGGGGGGGGGGGCTGCAGGGCCCTGGGCAGAGGCCACCCCAGACCCCCTTCCCCACCTTCCTCCGCTGAGCTCTGGAGCTGCTGCTGCTGGCACAGGGAGCGGAAGGCGTCCTCCTCCTGCCAGATGATGCGATGCAGAATGATCCAGGGCAGCACCGAGGAGACGTGCGGCTCCTTGGGCTCCTCCTGCACGGCCATGCTGCAGTCGATGATCTGGGGGGGGGACAGTGAGGTCACCGACCCAGGCTGAGTCCTCGGGATGTTTTGCTGGGGGAACACTGGCGCAGTGGCACCCCATCAGGTCATCAGACAGAGGGTCACAGAGCCTATGGCAGGGCCATGCCCGACTCCAGAGGAGCCAGCTCTGACCAGCCTCTCATCCATGTGCAGCTTCTACTGTGTGCTGGGCCCAGTGCCACACAGGGTGACAGAGTGAACAGGACAGAGGAGCTGACAGCTTGGGGAAGGAGCCATGGGTCAGGTGGCTGCAGTGGTGTCACAGAGGAGCGGGGCCAGGTAGAGCCCTTGCCAGACAGTTTCCATGGAAGGGGCTGTGGGGTGCCCGATCCCCAGAGAGGGCAGGAGTGGGGCAGAGGACAGGCAGGCAGGCCGAGGGCCCAGAGGTGGCCACGAAAGCCAATGAGAGGGTGGAGAGAGGGGCTGGTGGCCCAGTGCACTCTGGGCAGGCACCCAGGAGGAGTGTAAAGGGTGAAGGGAGGGAGCAGCACGTTCGTATTTCCGTTTCGGAAAGGGGCCTCGCGGCAGGGTAGTGGCTAGGCTGGTAGGGGACATGGGACAGCCCCCTGCTGCGGGGCAGGGCAGGAGGACAGGGCGCTACCTGGATCAGGTTGTTGGTGAGCCGGGTGAGGCCGGCGGCCGCGGACGCGTCCCTCAGGATGCTGCCGCTGCTGTCCGCCGAGAGCGCCTGCTCGATGCCCTGCAGCAGCTGGGTCACGGTGGCCACCCACTCCTCCTTGGCTGCAGCCTCGCCGGCGTTCACCATCTGCTGGACTGCCTCATTCAGAGCCACGTCGGAGCACTCGAAGCACTGCCGGTGGTCCTTGCGCCGGAGCAGGGAGTCCTACAACAGGAAGGGGCGCGGGGTTGGGGGGTGTTGACATGCCCACCCCCTGGCCTGAGGACGGAGGGCGGGCGGACGGGGCGAAGACGAAGGGGCAGGCCAAGAAAAGGGAAGCATTATAGCCACGGGGCATCTGCAGGGCCTGTGGGCTGGGACCTGTGTGCAACCACGGTGTGGCAGGCCACCAGCCAGGCAGCTCTCAGAACGGGGCTTACCCTTGGTGCCTCAGTTTCCCATTTAGAGCCCTGGAGCAGCCAAAATGAGGCTGTCTCCACCACCTCTGTCAGCCTGACTGTGCTCAGCCCACCCAGTCACATGCTCATCCAGGGCCATGGCTCTGGGGGTCTCGCCAGGGGAGGGACTGTGGGAGGGACTGCCTCGGGAGGAGGGCGCTGGCCAGGCAGCCCAGGTGCCAGGCGAAGCCGGGGGTGAGCCCAGCCACCCCTGGCCCGCGAGGTGCCGAGGCTCGAGGTGTGCTGACGTCCATGCACACTCAGCAACGTCCGATGGGAGCTGCTCTCAGTACGCACACTGCACTGCCACTTTAAAATCTCCCCTTCAGGAGCCATCGCCTTGGCCAAGCCTCCTTTCCTTTTGCTCCGGAACAAACCTCTCAGCCTCTCATTACTGAGCGGGCTGCGGAGTCACAGATCTGGCTGCGGCCGGTCAGAGCCACAGGAAGCACCTGCTGCCTGGCGCCATGGGCTCTGGCTCGCACAGCTGAGGCCAGCAGTGGCTCCTGCCAGCCTCGGCAGGTGCAGCTGCCGCACGCTGAGGTGACAGACAGGTGTGGGGACAGAAACATCCCAAACTGCCTTTGGTATGTGCTGCGACATCCAAGCACAGATCAAAACCAGTCCTCATTTAAAAGCCTAATTGGCCGAAACTGGTTTTGCTCAGTGGTAGAGCGTCGGTCTGTGGACTGAAGGGTCTCAGGTTCGATTCTGGTCAGGGGCATGTACGTTGGTTGCGGGCACATTCCCGGAGGGGGGCGTGCAAGAGGCAGCTGGTCGATGTTTCTCTCTTGTCGACGTTTCTAGCTCTCTATCTCTCTCCCTTCCTCTCTGAGAAAAATCAATAAAATATAATAAGTAAATAAATAAATAAAATAAAATAAAATAAAAGCCTAATTGCCAGGGACACGTGGCGTGTTTCTTTAGAGAAAACGAGTCCTCCGCAGGCGGCCCCTGGGTGCGAGGGTGCCCACGCTGACGCTCCCGACCAAATGCCACTCACACCAGGGCGGGGCTCTCCTCTGGCCGGAGGAGGACCACGGACTATGCAACTGCAGCCAGAGCTGCCGTGAAGTCAAGGCCAAGGCGCGGACCTGCCAGCAGCACTCCAGTGTGACATAATCCCCGTGCTCAGGGCCAGGAGCTAAAAGGCAGAAGAACTGCCAACAAATGAGGAGACCAAATTGCCGCCATCAGAGTAACAGGAATTTGGTGCGGTGGCTAGATTCCAAACAAACATGCAAACGTCACCAGGGTTCGTGTAAGCCAGTGCGCTCTGAGGCAACAGAACGCCAACAAAAGGCCCTGCACAAGCAGCAACCCAAACATCGAGGAGGAAAACAGCTCCGCATCAGAGAGACAACCATCCTGAAGACTTTAAAAGATGGAGGGACAGCCGCCACATCTGGAGGGGAGGGTCCCTGCAGACGCCCACCCTCTAAGCTAGATGAAGTCACTTCAATGCAAAACACGAGCCACCAACACGCTGGAAGGAAACAGGCTGGAGGAGGGCCTTTCTGGGTGTTTGCAGAGGCCCTGTCTGCCTGCCAGGCACTGTGGGAACGCAATCATGTGTGTGGAACGAGTGGGTGAATGTTTTCTCACTCTTAGAAAGGCTGCCTAAGCACAATGAACAAAATCACAGGCATTTAACAACATCAAGAGATTTGACAACATGATTCAAAACTTCTGTATGTCAAAAACACACAAGCTTCAATTAAAAAGCAAACATCGAACTGGGAAAAATATTTGCAGCATTTGATGAGAAAAAGATGACTGTCTTTAATATGTAAAAAGTGCTCTAGATCAGTAAGAACCCCTCTCCCACCAACAGGAAATGGAGCAAAACCCAGGACTCGCTTATTTGCCAAGAGAGGAGCCTCCTGGTACGTGGCCGGCCTGAGCCCACAGAGCTGCTCAGCGCCCTTCCAACAGCAGTCCCCACCAGCAGGGCGTGGGCCACACCAGGAGTTCTAGACCACAGGGGCCAGGCGACACCTGAGCCACTGTGGTCTTTCCCAGAAGCACAGCGGACTGGCCTCTGCCTTCCTCCCACCCAGTGGCCCGGGGTACACCCAGCTGTCCCTCCCGCACAGCCATGCTTCCTTCCCGCACCTGCCGTGGTAACTGAGGTCGGACGAACCTCCTCCCTGGACCTCAGCTTGGGCCACCCGACTCCCTCTGCCCAGCTCTCTCCTCCCGACGCTGACCAGGGAGGCGGCCTCTCCCCCTGGTCCCGATGCACCTTTCATCTGTTTCCCAGTTCAAGCAAGTGAATGCTAATAACTGCCATGTCTCATAATCTGAGCAAAGAGCCTGAGAGAAGACGGGCTGGCTTTGCAGACTGAAGGGGAAGGGCCCAATAACACAGAAGCTACAGTAGTTAGTGTGAGAACCACAGGGTCAGGACACGGACCCAATGCCATAAGCACTTCGTTTCTATCATCTTCCCTATCAGCCTCTGCGGCCGATGCCGTGCTTCCTGAGGATGCTGGCAGTGATGACAGCTGGCACCACATGGCACTTGCTACAAGCCAGGCATGGTGCCCACACATGCTAATTCTTAGAATCCCACAACAGCCTCTGAGGTAAGGACAATGATCTCCCCACAGCTTAGAGAGGGAGAGGAGCTGAGCCCAGGGCGGGGAATTCCAGCACCACCAGATCCTGGCCCCGTGAGCTCCCCGGAGGGTTTATTCCTAAGGAGCAGAGGCGTGAAGAAGCTGAACGTGCGATTGGGCTCCCACGTCACTGCTGCTCTTTTCCTTCAATGACGTGACCCTGTGGGCTTTCCTTTCATCTTGATTTTTACATTATACACACATTTTATCCATATTTTACATGGACTCACTAGTTAACTTTTAAAGTGACTCAAAAGCCAGGCAAAGGAACAAGCAGCTGGATGGATGGCCAAGGTCCTGACTGTGCTCCCTCCTCTGCCGGCAGAGTTCAGAGTCAAGTGCGGGCTCCCACTGAGCGCGTACATGAACCCTGGGACCTGCACTCCTAAGTTCCCGCTTCCTCCCGTATCCGCTGACTGGCACCCTCCTAGCTGCCTGCCGAGTTAGTGGCTTTTACTCCCATTTTTGCAGGTTCTCAAAGCCTCAGGGAATAACCCACACCTGGTGCAGAAGGGCCAGGGGGAGGGCCGGGCGCACGCACCTGCAGCAGCAGCAGCTGCGCCGGCCGCTCGGGAATGGACGTCATGAACTCCAGGTGCTTGGCCTGGTCGAAGCCGCTGGGGCACAAGGTGGGCCGCAGCAGCTGCACCACGGCCTCGTAGTCGCCCGCCTCATACAGCCGCTGGATCTCCTCCAGGGACTGGCACCGCTCCAGCGACTTCAGGTTCTTATCGATCTGGAAGAAAGCCAGCATTCCCAGCGGTGATAACCCCTCACTGCTCCCTGACCCAGCCAGCGTTTGTGTATCAGACCCAAAATCAGACTCCCCTGAATATGTCAGCATTTACGTTAGGCAAATACTTTATCAAAAACATTTCTATTTAGCCCTGGGGGTGTGTCTCAGTGGTTAGAGTGTCGTACTAAAGGATCAAGGGTTCCATTCCCAGTCAAGGACACGTACCTGGGCTGTGGGTTCCCTCCCTGGCCCTAGTCGGGGCAGATGCAGGAAGCACCCAATAGCTGTGTCCCTTTCTCTCTACCCCCACTTCCTCCCTTCCACTCTATCCATGGAAAAAATATCCTCAGGTGAGGAGTAATAAAACAAAAAAATTTATTTCTATTCAAGTCAAGACATTCAATTCCTTAAAAACAAACCTACGGAAACAACAAAAACTCCCCAGAACCAGAGCAGCTCAGAAAAGTGTCTGCCTAAATAGTAGGGTCTTGTAGTCAGTCAGCAAAGCAGACTCATGGAGCTGGGCCAAAGGTCACATGCCCCCTTACCACAGGCCTCTCCGCACGGGAGGCCTGCAGGGGCCCCGGGGGGTCGCAGCAAAGGCGCTGCATTGGCCTTGCCCCAAACAGCTCTGCACTGGGAAGACAATGCCCACGCACCTCCTCCAGGGAGACGACCGAGTCGTTGTGGAGGTTGGGGAGCCGAATGACAGTGTCGCCATGCTCAGCCCCGGCCTCTGCCTGGATGGCCGCGGAGCTCTGGAGCATCTCCGTGCAGATGTCATAGTTCTCCAGGGCCTGCTCCATGTCCCCCTGGCCGGAGGAAGAGTAGAGGACAGGGTGAAGGAAGAGGACTCGCTGCTATGCCAGGGCCTCACCTCCCGACCCCCGAGCCTGCAGGCACAGGCAGGACAGTTTCATCAATTTCTGCCAGACCCTGGAAAGGGGCCTGATGCACAGCAGGGCTCAGTGAATATTTGTGGAATGGACGGACGGACAGATGGATGGACAAACAAACAGACAAATGAATTCACATCACAACTCTGAGGTATCATTACCTCACGTTACAGGTAAGGACACTTAAGACACTTGAGTGAGGCTGAGCATCTTGTTCAAAAAGCATGATAATATGTCCTAACCAGTTTGGTTCAGCATCAGCCTGCGGACTGAAGGGTCCCAGGTTCGATTTCGGTCAAGGACATGTACCTTGGTTGCGGGCACATCCCCAGTGGGAGGTATACAGGAGGCAGTTGATCGATGTTTCTCTCTCATCGATGTTTCTAACTCTCTATCCCTCTCTCTTCCTCTCTGTAAAAAAGTCAATGAAATATATATTTTTAAAAAAGGTACGCTAATAAATGCAGGATTACAAGCTAGTCCTGTCCTAATTCCAGAACTGACCATGCACTCTGCTGCTCATGCCACCACAGTGCACAGGTCCCGCCATACGCAAAGGGCTGGGGAGCAGCCAGCCACTGGCCTTCCAGACCAGGCTCCTAAGCTGCTCTCTCTCGAAAGCTCTGAAGCCGCCCCGCGCTTGCTCAGGCTTTCCCAGGGAAGCACAAACAAAGGGTCCAGACCCCGAGGCAACCCTGAGTGAGCTGTATCCTGCTGTGCTGCTGTGCTTTACAGACTGGAGCTACCCTGGGATTCCCACGATGCTGAAAACCCCCACCAGCCCCCACTTCCTCAAGCTGAGCCCGGCAGGGGCCACACATGTGCACATGCACGTCCTCAAGGAGGCATCCAGCCCTCCCATCCCTCTGGTGCCAGGGCAGGCTCCCCAGGCAGCCGAGCACAGAACCAACCTGCAATGCCAGGAACCGCGCCTTCAGCCAATACACGCGGACCACAAACTCCAGCCAGCCATCCTCAAACAGGTCCCGCTGAGATGAGGCAAATGACATCTGCAGGAGGTCCCCCAGGAAGTGGGTTCCCGGGAAATCAGGCCCAAACCTGCCATTCGCCCCACCAGCAGCAGGGCAGTTCCGAGGAGACACTGAAAAGTCAGACAGGACAAGTCAACATCACATGCAGGTCCAGGCGCCCTTCTGCCCCCAGAACTCTCCCTCTGCCCTCGCTCTGCAGGGAAATTACTGGGACACGGAAATTGTCACGTGATAACCTGGGAACATTAGGCTCTCACTTCCTTTCATCCCAAGGAAGAGAAAAGTGGGTAGGTGGCTCCCTCTGGTGGTGAGTTTCTGCTAACACTCCTTGGCCGAGACCTGGATCCTTCCAGGCCTGACAAGCCCACCCAGGACATGTGCCCATTGCAGACTCGTAGATTCAAGTCTGACTTCTACGACGACTCGGCTCCCCACGCCCAGGCCTGCTGATTGCTCAGAGTCCGGAACGCTCCGGCCACAGGAAACAGCGCTCCTACCCGAGGCGCTTCTGCCCTTGCTCAGCAGCCACTGGTCCAGCTGCAGCTCCATGCAGCAGAGAGACATCAGCATCATGCCCTGCGGGACAGGCGCCAAGATGTCAGGGACAGGCACAGAGTCGCCAAAGGGTGAGAATGGGACAAGCTAAACTAAAATTTACTTTAACTTAAAAACCCACTATTCTACCTTCTTCCCATTTAGTACGTGGTCATCAGCGGCGACCTGCCAAGACACAGAAGGGAGCATGTGGACCTACACGGGGCATAAACCTGGGAGGAGCCAGGAAACCAGTCTTCAGTCCTGAGGGACTAGGCCATGACGGGCCGCTCTGTCGCCTGCCCAGTGCTGGGCCAGCTGCTGTATCCACTCAACCCTTAAAGGGACCGGGGTCAGCCCTGGTCAGTTTGGTTCAGCAGTTAGAGTGCTGGCCCTTGGACTGAAAGGTTGCGGGTTCGATTCCGGTTAAGGCACATTACTAGATTGCAGGCTCGATCCCTGACCTCGTGCAGGAGGCAACCAATCAATGTGTCTTTCTTACATCGATGTTTCTCTCTCTCCCCCTCTCTTCTACTCTCTCTAAAAATCAATGGAAATATCCTCAGTGAGGACAAACAAAACAAGAGTCTGCAGGTCAGAGTACCGCTCTCCAGCACAAAAGGAAGTGTCACGGCAGAGGCTGCCCAACCTGCAGTGCCCTGGTCAGAAGTATGACCAGCCAGGCAGGACCTGGAGGTTCCCAGCCTCTTCCCCCACCGGGAGAGGGGGCCAAGCACACTGGGTCCCCAGGAGCCCTGGGAGGCACCGAGGGGAGGAGCCTGCGGTATGGAGTGCTGTGGGCAGGTGGATGGCGTGGCTCGGCCCCCACTAAGACCCCATCACTCGCCTCGGCAGCCCTACTCAGCCTCTGCACTTAGGTTTCTCAGTAACCGCCCCTGGAACCCCAAATACAGCCAAGCCTTCACTTCCCAGCCTCTCTACACCACCCTGCCACCAGCCCAGGCTGGGCCAGCCCTAGGAGTCCTCCCCGTCTCACCCCTCACCCCGCATTCAGTTCATCCTGGCAGCTCTGCGTCCAGAACCCCCACCCCCTGCCGCCGCTGCCATGGTTCCCTGAGCAACAGCCCCTGAGAACCTGTGCCCACGCTCCCATGTTACCCTCACTCAGCTACCCGATCTCTCTCGGCACAAACCAGGCTCCATGCTTTCCTGCTTCAAACCCCCGGGGCCCACATTCCAGCCCCAGAAGCCAGTGCAGCTCCACAGGCTCCACAGCCCACTCCCCAGAAGGCCCAGCCTGACAAGCCCGGCCCTGGGCAGCCCGCCGCCCACCTTGATGTGCTTGTTGCTGCAGTCCCGCAGCAGCGGGTTGGGCAGGCTGGTGCTGTGCCTCCGCCAGCTGTGGTAGATGCTGAGCACCACCTCCGCCAGCCCAGGCGGCCACCTCAGCAGGAACTTGTGGCCCATGGCCTTCAGGTAGCGCATCATCAGCTCCAGGAGGCCCCCATTGGTCAGGTTCTCCAGCAGGAACGTGTGCACGTCCTGCCGCTCTGCCGGGAGGGAGACAGGCCTGCCTTGAATAAAGGCCCTCTGTGCCCGGGCCTCCCATGTTCCCAGGCCTCTCTGAACCTCCAGGTCTGAGGTGGGCACTAAAGGGTCAGCCTCCAAGTGCTGCCATGCACACTAGCAAGACTGCACACAGAAAACACGGAGCCTGCTGCCTGGCACCACGATGCCCTCCAGAGTGGGGTCGGCCAGACTGACCGCAGAGCCACCTGGGTTCACCTGAGCCCACGCCCTCAGGAAGCAGTCGAGTGTGAGCAAGGACAGACCTCCCACTGCCATGGCGCTCAGGCCCAGACCAGTCCAGGCGCCCCTTGACCACACTTCATCCAGACCCAATCTCCCAGGAGAAGACCTGGCCAGGCCGAGGGTGGAGGAGGAAGCTCCCACAGGGCACGGTCCGGGGACTCCTACCAGATTCCGTGAACGTGGCCGCGTCCAAGGACAGCCGCTGAGGCCCCGAGCTCGGGCAGCTCTCCAGCTTGGCTTCTGCCTGCACCTCGTAGCTGTGGAAGGGGTCGTCTTCCTCCTCGGGGTCCAGCTTCCTCAGCCTGCAGGACACCCCCGTCACAGAACCACGCCAACGTCCACCCTGAGTTCTTGCCAAGCAGAAGCAGCAGCCCCGGCCCGCGAAAGCGGTGTGAGTGCACAGGACGCGAGTGCATGGCCTCCAGCTCCGGAAGCCACTCATCTCTGAGGCCCCGGAAGTGCCTTCCAAGTCCTGCTCCCTGCCCTCAGGAAGCTCCAAGCAAGAGAACAAGAAACACCGAGAGCCCAACCCAGGGAGAGCTCTGCCTTGGCCACTGGCAGGATGTCATGGGGAAGCAGGAGATGCTGCAGTGGAGGAGAAACGCGGGTGGGCAGGCAGAAGTTGGTGCCTGCAAATCTGAGAAGGCGTGACTGTACCTGGGCGGCAAGAACTTGAGCAGAAGCTCCTGGAAGTCGACCTTCTCCTCTTTTTTGCACTTGGTGTTCCGGACGCGGGCAGACCGCCGTTTCGCTGTCTCCCCGTTCTCTTCCGGGATCTTCTTCCGCTTCACGCCCTTCCGAGCTTTATCTCCTGCAGACAGGTCGCCTGCACAGAGAGCACACGCAGTCACATGGGCTGCGTGTCCCTCAGTCTCCCCCATGAGAAGAGGGTCCCTGAGGAGCAGCCCCCAGAGCAGACGGAGACTCCCCTGGGGTCCAGGGCCTCTTGCTTAAACCTCAGACCAGGAGATGAGCAGGATGTGTCCCTCTGAGAGACCCAAACAGCCAGCAAACTAGGTCTCCCCAAAGTCAGCCCCGGGGGTGCTCACCCAGGGGGACCCCGGACTCCAGCAGGCTGGGGCTGTGCAGCGGGAAGCTGGCTGTGGCCACAGGGGAGCAGGAGAGCACAGGCTCCGCCACGATCACGGAGGAGCTGGCACTGACGGGGCTGGGCTGCACCACGCTGATAGGCGCCGCCACCGCCGAGGACACTGGGTGCTGGCTGAGGTCCTGGTAGTCAGACAGGTCCACCCTTTTGCCGAGGCTGGGCCGCGGCGGCTCGCAGGTGGTGAGGTGGTTGTACATGGCCAGCAGGCTCTCTCCCAGACACTTCCAGCTGCAGAGAGACAGCTCAGTGGTCAGCACCACCTCCCAGGTACTCGAGCACAGGGCCAGTTGGCCTTGGAGCAGCGGCAGAGTGGCCCCAGGGCTGCACCTCCCAAGGGCAGGGAGAGCTGTCATGGTTTATTGTCGTGACTGACAAAATCTTGAGTCTAACACAGCTGAGGAGCTGCCGAGCTGCAGTGACTTGATGTGAGTGACATACCCAGAACCAGAGAGGAAGGAGCCCGATTCCAGGGTGCATCACCTGAGAACTGCCCTCTCGCAACCTGGGACCCCTCCGGGGATGTTGGAGAGCCGGTTTCAGCCGGATCCCCATACCCACAGGCCAGCCAGAGGGACCGCCCCAGTGCACGAATCCATGCACCAGGCCTCTTGTAAAAATATATTTAAAAAAAGAATGGCATCAGAAAAGAGGGACTGACTGGGCCTACCTGGAGAGGCCCCACTACTTCTTATGGGTCCAAAAGTCGCCTACTCGCCTCCAGCCACTGCCAATACGCCCCAGCTCCACCCACGCCATAGCCTGGAGCCAGGCTCACTCTGTACAGGACCCACCAGCGACCCAGCACCCCAGACGCACGGCCACCTACGTGAGAAAGGGGGTGGGCTGCACCAGCTTCAGGTCCGGCTCCTCCTCCCGCACCACCAGCGCCTGCCTCTTCTTCCGCAGCCCTAGGGCCTCGTCAATGATGGCCTGCGCCTCAGCCGCGCTCACCGACACGTCATGGATGGACATGTCACTGACAGCACAGCACATGAGACAGGGAGGAATTTCAATGTCACACACCAGAGCGAAGCTGACACTTTACAGGCAGGGATGCAGCTAAGTGACCACCCTCTAATCCATATTAATTCTTCCTACAAATAGAATAACCACTGGAGTCTGGCCTCCGAAGGCAGTAATTAGCATTCAGAATGACCACACATACTAGTCGTGACAAATACCTTTTGTTCCTTCTGGATGTCAGAAAAGCCACAGGAAAATCAAATCTTGCTCTTTAATTATTTTTAAAGAATTTAACCAGACCATCCTGCCCATCCCAACAAGAAGTCATCAGCTAGCCAAGCTCGCCGCAGTCTATGCCATGGACTCTATGGTGTCTCCACAGACACTCTGTGCCTGCAGTGGCCCCGCAGGACCGGCCCTCCCGCCTGGACTGAGGACAGATGTGAACCAGAGACAGTCTGACAAGGGATAGACTGAGCTAAACAACCCCCCTCCACCAGCTGAGTTCCCGGCCCAGGAAACACCAGCGGGCGGAGGAGCTGGCGCAGGAGAGGGAGGCAGCCAGAGCGTGGACAGCTGCTGAGAGGCGGCCTGAGAACTGAACGTGAAGGAGGAGTGACAGCACAACACGTGGAGAAGTGGGAAGACGGCGTTCAGGTGAGAGCAAGTGCGATCGGGGTGCAGGGACAGGGCAGAGCACTGGGCCAGGCCTAGAACCGCCCAGGGACCTGACAGCTCTCCTCCCGGGCAATGCTATCGAGCATGGCTTTTGTCCTGGAGGCAAGGCAGGGATGGTATAGAGTCAGAGGTATGTCTGTGACAGTGAACTTGGGCAGCCAGAGAAGAGCTGGCAATGCCAGGAGCTGGCGGGGAAGAGGGGCGGGGAGGAGCCAGCAGCCAGCGAGGAGGCATGCTGAGCTGGGCGCGCAGCTGAGGAGCACACAGGCAGAACACACCGGTCCCAGGTGCGGATGAAGGAAAGAGGTGCAGGGCCTGTCCCCCAGGAGATGAGCACGCTCCTCATTCAGCAGCTACTGCGGAGGGAAAGAGGGGGTGCAGCCCAGGAAGGCACGAGGCCGGACCTACCATTTCAGGAACATCCGGAGGGAGTCTTTCCGGAGACAGGGCTGCTCCTCAAATATCTTCTCCTTGAGGACCAGGCCTTTGCTGTAGCGGCAGTCTTTCTCCAGCGCCTTGCAGATGAAGTACAGGCACGCTGCAGACACAGAGACAGTTAGGACACTGATGCGCACCCTGAAGCGCCACCTGCCAGGTGCTGACGGGAACAGGTTCCTGCTCTGGAATCGAAGACAAGCACAGCGATCACGAGACCCCATTTTAACTGACTCAACCAGGAAGTATTTCTAAAAAGAACGCTCCTGGGACTGGCCTGCAGCACACTGGCCAGCCTGCAGAGCGCCCTGGAGCCACCCTCTACTCTGGCCGCGGAGCACACGGGGAGCCTGCCACCTGGGAGGCCCAGAGCCCCCAAGGCCAGAGCACTAGGCAGTGCCTGCTTCAGGGCCATCCGTGCCAGGGGCAGTGCCCTCTGCGGAGCCGCGGGCAAGGCTGAGACCAGGGAGCTGAAGCAACGGGAGGCAGGCGGGGGTTCTGTCCGCAGAGATCGCCCAGGAGCCCTGATGCCCTGCAGAGGCAGTGACTCTCTGGCACCAGATAAGCCCAGCTGCAGCTGCCAGGCCGCCTGTCAGCAAGTCCCAGGAGCAGGCCCTGGCACCGAAGGGCACATGCAGGGATGAAAGGAGGCGAGCAGAGGTAAACTCTCCGAGAGCATGTGACTCACTCTAACGCACTCAATAAATCTCCACTGAGTACGACAGACAGCAGAACAGAGCAGACACATAGACATCTCCGTTCTCCCCATAGGCAGGCAGAGACCTTCAGAGACCTTCCTCTTCCCCAGCCGCCCTCCCTCCACTGTCCCCAACACACAGCGCCTGGGAGAAAGGGTCACAGCCCGACTCACTGGTGTAGTCGCTGAGGGTGTACAGGACAGTGATGAGGTTGTCCAGGCAGGGCCAGTGGTCGGGGTTGCACCGCAGCCCCTCTTCAAAAGCATGGCGAGCCAGGGGCACCCGCAGGAGCCTCAGGGCCACGTGTCCGATCTTATACCAGAGGTTGACATCCGTGGAGTCCAGCATGACAGCCTGGGAGCGGCACAAGCAGAGGACGCATACACCCTCCGTCAGCCTCTCCCTGAGCAGCTGCCTGCGGTGAGGGAGGGGCAGCGCCGGCCTAGCCACTCACACTACCAGGAGCATGACCAACAGAAACCACAGGGGCCAATTTACCGAGTTCAGAACATATGCTTTTTAAAAAATGTTTTCATTGGTTTTTAGAGAGAGGGAGGGAGGAAGAGAGAAAGATAGAAACATCATCGATCCACTGCTGCCTGCACAGCCCCTACTAGGGATTGAGCCCGTAACCTGGGCATGTGCCCTGACTAAGACTCAAACTGGTGACCTCTTGGTTCATGGGTTGACACTCAACCACTGAGCCACACTGGCCAGGCCCAGAACATACTCCTGATATATCTTGTCACTCTGTATATCTCACCTATTTGACAGAAGTAAAAGAAGTAAAACTGAAAGACATAACCGCTCTAGCCGGTGTGGCTCAGTGGACAGAGTGTCGGCCCTCGGACTGAAGGGCCCAGGCTCAGTCCCAGTCCAGGGCACACACCGTGGCTGTGGGCTTCATCCCCAGCCCTGGTTGTGGCACGTGTAGGAGGGAACCAATTGACGTGTCTCTGTCACTCTCTCTCTCTCCCTCCCTTTCACCTTCCATCCCTCCCTCTGTCCCTTCCCTTCTCTCTGAAAATCAATAGACAAATATCTTCCGGAGGGGATTAACAAATAAATAAATTCTTTGCAGTCAATGAGACCACAACCTCACCCCGCCCACCAAGACTTTCACCGCCAACGCCGCACCTCCAGGTAGAACTCCATGGCTGTCTCCAGGTCCTCGCGCTGGGCGGCCAGCTGGGCCAGGTTCTTGTATGTGGAATATTTCAGCATCAGCCCCGGGTGCTTCAAGCCTTCTTTCTCATCGCCCGAGGAGACTGCCTGGGAACACACACAGCAACACAGGGACACTGGGCCTTACGGCCACAGGCAGGCAGCAGGCACACACCCACAGGGCTGCCGGCGGCTGAGGGGCAGACAGGGGAAACCCTGTGTCCAAGGTCACCCAGCCAAGGGGTTGGGGGCAGGGCAGCCAGGATGCCTGGCTCCCGGGCCTGCCTCCTGGCCTGGGGGCACCTCACCTCCCGCAGCAGGCGCGCCTCCAGCAGCTCATGGTAGGCCTTGGCGGACTCCTCAAACTGGTCATGTTTTTGCAGGTCCAGGGCCTTGTGATACAAGGCAAAAGCCTCTGCTTCCTGCAAGCAAAGACAGTGACGTTTTCCCGTAGGACAAAGGTCTTTTTTATGCCAAACACGTATGTAGCCAGGGCTGAAGACAAGGCCCTGTTAACTGCCCGCTGTACCCTCTGTGGTGAAAGCAGTCCTGACACGCCCACCTCCCAGACCTCACCCCCTCCAGCCCCAGGAAGGACACAGCTGAGTGATGAAAAATGGGCCACTGGCGTGGCTGGCACACCTGGGCCTCCTTCGTCTGGGTCTTGTGGCTTTTGAAGCTCCCTTCATGGTCATCCTCCACCGTGGAGCTGGCATTGAGGGCTGCGATGCGAATCTGGAGACAGAGGTGAAGGAAAGGAGAGCTGCGTTTACATGAGATGTCGCTGTCTTTTCCACAACCCACTGTGAATACAGCTCTGCTCCATAGCCGATTCTGCTTGATAGCTATGGCCTCTCAGAATGTGGGCAGCAAAGAGTGAGAGGTCACCCGTAAAAAGTAAATAAAAAGTGTTAGAGGGACACTGTAATACTTTCAACAATGGAGATAAAATTTAAAAAAAAAAAGTGTTAGCTAGGACAAGGGTCTCAAGGTCTACTCGAGGTTGTTCTTACTAAATGCTGTCATTGCTAAATGTTAAACTGTAGCAGAGTATTTTGCAGACCAGCTATAAACTGAATCAGCTTGACAGGATCTCAGCTCATAAATGTAGCCAGCTGCCAAAAACGTGTAACTAGCTGCCCAGACAGTGCACAGGCACTGCTCCACCTCCCGTGGAGCTCCAGACAGGACTCCTGCGTCCTGGTGGCCAGAGCACCGCATGCAGTGAGCCTTGAAGTCAGTCACAGAAGAACCAGACCGGGTCTGGGGTCACACCATCTGTCAGGGAGCATGTCCTGGGTACAATCCACTGCGAAAGGATCACAGCCGGGGACACCCAGCCACGACCCAGCGCAGAGGAAGACCCAGGACTGGAATGACAGGTCCCAACAGAATGGGTTAACTTTGCCCTTTCCAGCAACCAGGTGAGGCCTGCAAACCACCTCAACAGAAGGTCAAGCAGCCACACCCTCCAATGTCTCCGACAGCCAGGAGGAAGGCCGCCCACAGGGACAGCCAGGAGGTCCACTCAGAAAGCCCCTCCCCCCGGAGCAGAGAAGCCAACGAACACCGGCGCCAGGAGAACAGCCAGCACCTGTCCTCACCATGCTCGGAGCTTCAGCTGCAGCTTCCCATCACCTGCGGAGGCCGCCGTCCACCAGTCTCCTGGACAGAGCACAAAGGACAGAGAGGGCCCCTGAAGAGCCAAGAGTGTCACAATGCAGGGCCCACCGGGAACCAGCCCCCACGGCCTCCCCGGATCCGGGCACTCAGGCTGGTGACCAATGGCCTGGGGAGGGCTGAGTGTGCTGCCACATAGGGAGCCCCTCGGCCCCTTGGCCCTCGGCGTGAGTACATGCCCTGCCAGGCAAGGCACCAAGTGCCAGGACAGGAAGAGTGAGACCAACTCCTGCCCCAGGCCTCACTGCCCAGCAGAGGCAATTGATCTATAGACAATTTTTTTTTCAAAAGGTGACTAAAATAAAGAGAAACAAGGTACCCTCTAGCAGTAAAGAGGAACAATTCATTCAAAGGGATCGTGACAGGTTGAGTGGCGTGAACTTGTGTTAGCCTCGCGGAGGGAGCACATGGCAGGGAGGACAGGGGCCAACAAGTGAGGGCCAACAAGGGGCCTGACCACGGCCTGCGTGGCTCAGCAGCTGAGCGTGGACCTATGAACCAGGAGGTCACAGTGCGATTCCTGGTCAGGGCACAGGCCCGGGTTGCAGGCTTGATCCCCAGTGGGGGCGTGCAGGAGGCCGCCCATCAATGATTCTCTCTCATCATTGATGCTTCTATCTCCCTCTTGCTCTCCCTTCCTGTCTGAAATGAGTAAAACTATATTTCAAAAAATAAAATAAATATACTACTATTTTTAAAAATATATTTTATTGATTTTTTACAGAGAGGAAGGGAAAGATATAGAGAGTTAGAAACGTCGATGAGAGAGAAACATCGACCAACTGCCTCCTGCACACCCCCTACCGGGGATGTGCCCGCAACCAATGTACATGCCCTTGACCGGAATCGAACCTGAGACCTTTCAGTCCGCAGACCGACGCTCTACCACTGAGCCAAACCGGTTTCGGCTAAATAAAAATACTACTATTATAAGTCAAATTACTATGCTGTATGCCTTAAACTTACATAGTGCTATAGATTAATTGTATATCAATAAAACTGGAAACTTTTTTACTATTTTTTTAAATCAGAAAAAGTCAAAAGACAGCTGATAAATTGGCAGAATATTTGCAAGTTAAACCAATATTCCTAATATATGAAGAGCTCTTAAAAACTTAGAAACACGGCATTATTCACAATAGCCAAGAGGTTAAAGCAACCCAAGTGTCTATTGACAGATGAATGGATAAATAAAATATTATTCAACCTTAAAAAGGAAACATATTCTGACATATGCTACAACATGGATGAAACTTTCATTATGTTAAGTGAAACAAGCCATTCACAAAAAGACAAAATTATACTAATCTCTTTACATGAGGCACTTAGAATAGGCAAATTCATAACGACAGAAAGTAGAACGGTGGTTGCCAGGGGCTGGAGAAGGAAGGATGGGAGTCAGTGTCTAACGGAGACAGAGTTTTCATTTCGGAAGATAAAGCTCAGGAGATTGGTGGTGGTGGTGGTGGTGGCAGCGGCGGCACGACAGGGTGAAGGTGCTTAATACCACGGAGCTGTGCACTTAGAAAATAGTTAAAATGGCACATTTCAAGTTAAGCATACTTTACAATTTAAAAAAATGTTTTTATTAATTTCAGAGAGAGGAAGAAGGAGAGAAACATCAATGATGAGAATCATTGATTGGCTGCCTCCTGCACGCCCCCTACTGGGCACCAAGCTTGAAGCCTGGGCATGTGCCCTGATCTGACCAGGAATGGAACCCTGACCTCCTGTTTCAATGAGTCCACGCTCAACCACTGGGCCACATCGGCCCGGCATACTTTATCACAATTTTGAATATATATATATATATTTTTTATTGATTTTTTACAGAGAGGAGGAGAGAGGGATAGAGAGCTAGAAACGTTGATGAGAGAGAAACATCGACCAGCTGCCTCTTGCACAACCCCTAAGGGGGATGTGCCCGCAACCAATGTACATGCCCTTGACCGGAATCGAACATGGGACCTTTCAGTCCGCAGACTGATGCTCTACCACTAAGCCAAACCGGTTTCGGCACTTTACCACAATTTTGGGGGGAAAAAGAGGGGGGGGGGGGGGCCTGAGGGAAGACAAACAAAAACCTGATAGAAAAATGGGGAAAATATATTAGCAAACAATGCACCAAAAAAGACATACAACCGGCTCTCAAACGTACACATTAACTAGAGAAATAAAACTGAACAGCACCGGGACACCCCTCATCCATCCCAGGGGCAGCAGCGCCCTCTGCTGGGGAGGCTGCGGGGAAGCAGGGCTCGCTCTCTCCCTGTGGGTGGAATGCAACTCCGCCCAAGCCCTCAGGAGGGGGAACCTGACAAAATCACAAAAGCAGCTTCCAACCCAGCCATCCCACTCCCTGCAGATGTGCCTCCAGCAGCGGGAAAATACAAATGGCACGCGCACTGCACCACTGTCACTGCAAGACACAGAAAACGACCTCACTGGCCACAGCCGGTGGAGTGGATGCATGCCCTAGGCCAGTGGTCGGCAAACTCACTAGTCCACAGCGACTGAAATTTCTCTGGAGAGCCACATTTTTTAAACTGAAACTTCTTCCAACGCCACTTCTTCAACATAGACTCGCCCGGGCCGCGGTCTTTTGTGGAAGAGCCACAGTCAAGGGGCCAAAGAGAGCCGCATGTGGCTCGCGAGCCGCAGTTTGCTGACCACGGCCCTAGACTACAGCCACACCATGACGTCAGAGATGCTACTACGAGTGTAAAACTTAAGGAGGCCCTAGGCGGTCCAGGGTTCGATTCCCGTCAGGGGATCTGTCCGGATGGCGAGCTCGATCCCCAGTAGGGGGCGTGCAGGAGGCAGCCCGTCAGTTATTCTCTCTCATCACTGATGTTTCTCTCTCTTTCTCTCTTCCTCTCTGAAATCAGCAAAAATATTTTTTTTGGGGGAAAAAAAATGAATGAGGGCATGCGAATAGCAGCATTATTCATAATAACCGAAACGTGGAAACAAACCTAATGTCAAATGATGTCAAATGATGTCGACTACAGATCAAGGAACATGAGGTCTATCAAAACGACCGAGTATGAGCCGGCGATCAAAGGGAATGAACTGCTGCTGCCGGGGGTGAAGCCAAGAAAGCAATAAACTCGCTGAAAGAAAGCCGGTCTCGGGCCACGTGGTCTGTGACCCCATTTGTAGGAAATGCTCGGGATGGGAGAAATCTATTCAGTTTATCTTTATATTTGCCACGAAAGTGTGCCAACCTCCAACGAAACCGTTCTCGGGATATTTCGGTTCCGACCACAGACGTGGGTTCCGGCCGCCCCGCGGTGATGACCTGCAGTGACCCCGGCCCCCGGGAGGGAAGCGGTGCGGACACCGGCGAGCGCCCCCACCCCGCCGGCCTCAGTTTCCACCCCGGCTCCCGCGCGGACAGCACTCACCTCGCGGGTGCGGCGCCGGGGAAGAGAGAGGACGCCGGCCGGGGGTTCCTCAGCAGAGGCCGAATCAACGGTGGCGCCGGCTGTGGTCACAGGGAACCACTCCCGCGGCCGGAGCCCGTCCGAGGCCCCCTCAGGGCGGCGGTCGGAGCCGGGACCCGGCCCGCGAGGCAGCCGACAGCTCCGGCCTCGTCGCTCCCGCGCTCCGGCCTCTGCTTCCTCCGCTGAGGGGGGCGCCGGGGCTGCCCGCGAGCCCCTCGCGCCCGCACCGGCCTCGGCCCGCGCCGCCGCCCCTCAGGTTCGCGCCGCCGCCGCCGCCCTCGGCTCCGGAGAGCCGCACCCCACCCCCGGGGCCGCCCCGAGACGCGCCGCCTGAGGATTCACCGGGCGTCTCCACGGCAACCGCCTCTCCGCCCGGACCCCCGCGCCGGCCAGCCGCTCGCGCGCGCCTGACAACAAGGAGCACGCCCATTGGCTGCGCCGCCGGCTCGGCCAGCCAATCAGCGAGGGCGCCCGCGCCGCGCGCCCGCCGACGGGCTGGTTAAAAGCCGGCAGGTGGCGGCGCCGCTCGCAGCTCCCGGGGGTCGCCTGCTCGCGGGGGGGACCCTCGGCGCCACCATTTGCAAAAACTTGGAGGCGCCGAGCTCGGGGCCTGGCCCCGGCGGTCGCTAACTGGCGGGAGGTATTCCTGTTACCACCTGGCGCAGGTGTTCCGAGTGCGGTTCCGTGGTGAAGCGCCCACCTAGGAACCAGGAGGTCACGGTTCGATCCCCGGCCAGGGCACAGGCCCCGGTTGCAGGCTCGGACCCGGTAGGAGGTATGCAGGATGCAGCGGATCCATGCTTCAGTTATCGTTGATGTTCCTCTCTCTCTCCCCCTCTCCCTTCCTCTCGGAAATAAAAATAAAATAATAAAATAAAATGAAAGCAACAGAAACTTGGAACACTTATGAAGGAGCCAGGGGAGGACCCGCATTCCCCTTACCTGTCCTCTCTTCTGAGAAGGAGCGGAAGCCCCCAAAATAGATACAATCAACTATTGAAGCAGAAGGAAAAAAGAAACCAAGATCCGGTAAAGGAGCACTCAGGGAGGGAGTCACAGAATTTCAGAGCCCGAAAAGGGTCAGGTGGAAGGGTGCCTGACAAGATCTCGGGCTGAGGAGCTGAGCGTGTGGGGAGGGCTTCACGCTGGTTGAAATGCACAGCCCCGTGAGTCCAGCAAGAATTACTTCCACAGGAATGAACGCCAGGCTTTCTCTTCGGCACCCAAAGACAGTAAAGGCATGAGGAATTCAGAGTCAGTTCAGTACAATAAAGTTTTACCGATATCCAGGATTTACAAAAATAATGAAGTCACCAACCTTTTTTTAAAAAATTCCTTTATTGATTGATTTTAGAGGGCAGAGAGAAACATCCCTTTGTTGTTCCACTTATTTATGCATTCTTTTTAAATTTTTTTAAAAATTTTTCTTAATTTCAGAGAGGAAGAAAGAGGGAGAAACAATGAGAGAGAATCATGGATTGGCTGCCTCCTCCACACCCCCCACTGGGGGTGTGGAGGAGGCAGCCAATCGGTTGAGCCAGCAACCCAGTTGAACCTGGTACCCTTTAGTCCGCAGGTCAATGCTCCATCCACTGAGCCAAACCAGGTAGGGCTATGCAATCTTGCTGGAGAAGGGGAAGGAGCCAGTCCCACACACACCCCTCACCCCACCCCCTGCAGAAAACAGATGACATCACTCTCACCAGAGTGGTGCTAAGAGATTTAAGGTGGAGAGACCAAATAGGAGGCTGCTATTTCAGCCTTATGGTTCCGACAAGGGTTAGGCCTGAATCCCTCCTTGGGCACTTCACTCATTCACTCACACTCAACCTGTGTTCCCTGAGCCCATCTTGGAAGCAAGAATCCCGTGCAGGTAGAAGGAATGAGTCCAGAAAGAATCCCGTGCAGGTAGAAGGAATGAGTCCAGAAACAGCTGGACAGGTTGCTAAGGGAAGGAACTCCAAGCTCTAGCTTTATATATATTGATTTCAGAGAGGAAGGAAGACGGAGAGAAACATCAACGATGAGAATCATTGATTGGCTACCTCCTGCACGCCCCATACTGGGGATGGAGCCAGCAACCACGCATGTGCCCTTGACCAGAATCGAACCTGGGACCCTTCAGTCCACAGGCCGACGTTCTATCCACTGAGCCAAACCGGCTAGGTCCCATCTTCCAATTTGAGCAGCCTACATACAATCCATGAAACAGCGATCCTGACGGTAGAAACCACCCCATCGCATAAGCCCACCCCACTGCTCTGGATGAGCAGAAGGCCTTGGTCAGGAAAGGAAGCCATGTTTGAAAGACGAAGCTCTCTTCCTTTATTTGGCAGGAGGGCGGGGAAGAGGAAGATTGTGAGGTCACAGGCACGGCTGCGGGTGGGGGTGCCGGAAGCTGGTAGCCACCAGGCCCTCCCTCTGGCCAGGAGGCCTCTCGGGAAGAGGCGGCCAGCTCACCGGTGCCCCGATGCACTCTGTGCCAATCACAAAAACGTCATCACCGTCCCTTTCTTGCCGATCTGCCAGGGCTCCAGGGGGAAAAAGCGGATAAGTATCCTTCAGGGGACAGAGCAAAGAGATGTCATCAGTCCTTGGCCAAGGCCTCATATTCCAAGACCCCTGGGCATCCCCACCCCGGGGGCCCCCGCCAGGCTGCCCTAGCCCCCAGGTAGACGCTGCAAGCTGCTCGCCTCAGTATGTTCTCCCTCCAGGGGCGGGATGGTGGCTGCGGGGCAGCTGGCTCACCCAGAGCTCACTCCCAGCCAGAACTTCCTTCCGTTCCCCCCACTCTGCAAAGGGGGGCCCACACAGGGAGCCCCTGGGCAAGGTGAGGCATTTGCTTGTGGCCCCCACACACACACCACCCCCCTTAGGAGGGGCCCTCCGTGGGTCCCGGCCCCTACGCACCGGTCCTGGCCCAGCGGCAGCTCCTTCGTGAGGAACTCGAAGAACCGGGCGCTGTGGTCCCGGTTCTGCTCCGCCGTGCCCACCACGCCGATGGAGGAGACCGTCAGCTGCGCGCAGGGCTCGGCCGAGCCGCCCACCGCCATGGCCAGGCCGGGCCGCACCGTCGCGTTCACGCGCTGCGGGGGACACGAGAGGGTTTTCACCGGCGCCGGCGGCGCGGGCCGGGCTCGCGGGGCGCATCCCGCGGGGTCAGGGCAGGGGGTTTGGGCCGAGGTCCTCGGAGGTCACATCGGTGTCACGGCCGGGGAGGGCGACACTGAGCGGACGGGGTAAAGGGGGGCGGCGGGGGCGTGCGGAGCGGGAGCTCAGCGCTCCGGGGGGCCCTGGGAGGCGGGGTCGCTACGGGGGAGTCCCCAGCCCCGGGGAGCTCGCCGGCCCCGGGCCCCGGACCACGCTCACGTCCTCGGGCTTGGCCAGGATGGCGGCGGCGGCCGCGCAGAGCCGCTTCTCCAGCCCCGCGGGCACGCGGGCGGCGGACAGGTTGGTGTCCAGCTCCAGGAAGGGCATGGCGAGCGGGGACGTGTGCGCGGCGCCCGCGGGGCCAGGCTGAGCGGCCCGCGGGGCGGTCCCCCGGCCCCCGCTGGGGGGCGGGGCGGGGCGGGGCGGGGCGCCGGGAAGCGGGCTCCTCATTGGCTCGGCGGGCACGCAGCGCCTCCCCATTGGCTGCCTAGGCTGCACCGCCCGCCTCAGCAAAAAAAAAAAAACCTTTGTGGACTCTGACCCAGATTTCCGGAAGTCCTTTTTTTTTTTATATATATATATATTTTATTGATTTTTTTACAGAGAGGAAGAGAGAGGGATAGAGAGAAACATCAATGAGAGAGAATCATTGATCAGTTGCCTCTTGCACATCCACTGGGGATGTGCCCGCAACCAAGGTACATGCATGCCCTTGACCGGAATCGAACCAGGGACCTTTCAGTCCGCAGGCCTATGCTTTATCCACTGAGCCAAACCGGTTTCGGCCAGAAGTCCTTTTTCTTAAAGTTTTGTGTGTTTTTTTTAATAGATTGGTCTTGCCGAAACCGGTTTGGCTCAGTGGATAGAGCCTCAGCCTGCGGACTGAAGGGTCCCCGGTTCGATTCCTGTCAAGAGCATGTACCTTGGTTGCAGGCACATCCCCAATAGGGGGCGTGCAAGAGGCAGCAGATTGATGATTCTCATGTGATGTTTCTAACTCTCCCTTCCTCTCTGTAAAAAATCAATAACATATTTTTAAATAAATAAAATTTGTTAATGCGTTGCCACCACTTCAAAGTTAGGCAACTTCATGCTCAGTATGAGAACTTGCACTGCTCGTGGTCAGGAGACCCGGTGACACGTGGGGGTAACACATGGCGCTGGGTCAGGAGGCTCCGGTCAGCGTGTCCTGGAGCGCCTGTAGCAGCTTTGCTGCAGTGAGGAACCGTCCAGCAGGGGGTGGGAGCCAGGTCCCAGGAGAATTACCGGCAATGTTTACGGTACCTTCTTCATTCTCACCCGACTACGACATGCTTTTTTAGAGAGAAACGCCAGTGTGCGAGGGAAACATTGGTTGCCTCCCGCACGCACCTGACCAGGAATGGGACCCACAGCCTGGGCATGTGACCAGGCTGGGAATGGAACCGTGGCCAGGGCTACGGTACCTTATGTTTTGTAGGCAAAACAGAGGGTGTTCTTTAAAACATGGACATCTGTTGGCGTGACTAACCAGGTACTATCGTGTTTCGAAAATATAACTGAGCCACACTTGTTCAATAGTTGAGAGTCGATTTATGAACCAAGAGATCATGATTCAATTTCCGGTCAAGGGCACGTGCCCGGGTGGCCGGCTTGATCCCCAGCGGGAGGCATGCAGGAGGCAGCCCATTCATGGTTCTCATCGTTGATGTTTCTCCCTCTCCCTTCCTCTCTGCAATCAGTAAAAATATATCTTTAAAAAATAGTGAGTAAAGCTTATTCCAGAGGTCTCGAGCAAGTTGGAGTGGAGGGGGCAGGAGTGGAGTAAGAAGACGGACAAAAGGAGGAACGTGGGGCTGATGCGTGGCGGGACCTCGGGAACAGAGACTTCGGAGTGTCTTGCTTAAGGCCAAGGGGAGAGGCGACGCCATCTCTTTATTTCGACAACAGCCTCCATCCTCGGCGGCGGGCCCGCCCCTCCTCACTACAACAAAACCTCCACCAGGGGCTTCAGCTGGTCCTTCATGGCGGTGTCCACTGGCGGCAGGTCCCTGGCCTTCAGGACCACCTCGTGGGCCTCCTGGAAGAGGCCTGCCCCGACCTCCTCCTCCACACGCTGCTGCCAGGCAGCCAGCTTGGGGCGGGTTTGGAAGACAGAGCAGCCCGCGCTGACCGGCTGTGGGGAGAGGGAGCTGTGAGACTGCGTGATCCGGCTTAGGGACCCCCCAGGTGGACTTTCCCTCCTCTGCCCCATGCGTGATAGGCTGGGGTCCCCTCCCAGGAGACACTGAGAAAGCCCTCGATGTCCCTGCAGGGTGGGCTTTTAAAGCCCCATTTCACAGATGTGGAGACTGAGGCGTAGAGAAGGAAGCACACGCCCTGGGTCCCCAGCCAGGAAGGGCAGCATGAGCTAGAAAACTGGCTCCCTCCTGGGCACTCCCTGCCCCATGGGTCATGCTCCCCCTCTCCCCGCACTCACATGCATCAGCTCAGTGATGGCCACCAAGTCTGCCACCGAGATGCGGGGACCTGCCAGGAAGTCATCGTCCTTAAGGAACTTGTCCTCAAGCAGCTGCAGGCACCTCTCCAGCTCGGCCATAGTAGCTGCCAATGCCTCGGGGGGCACCCGTTCACCAAGGAACTGAGGGAGCATCATCTGGTGGGGGGCAGGAGGAGGGCTGAGGATCTGCCCCAAGCCCAGCCTAGCTTCTCCTTGCTCCCGCCGCCCCCTTCCACGCATAACCACCACCCCGTGCCCAGGCCTCATTTCCCCCCTCACACAGGGCCAGCCTTCACCCTCCCTGGATGCTCACAGAGCCACTGGCAGGGCCCTCTGCAACCCCAGGTTGCCCGCCCCTTCTCGCTGCATCGAGCCTGCCATGGCTCCCACTGCCCTCCACACAAAGGCCTCAGCAGCGCAGCCGCCACCACTCCCTCACCTCCACCTCTTCCCCACCCGGACTCCTGACATGGCAGGGCGCCTGGCTATGGCTCAGAGCTCATTCCTGACCAGTGTGCTCGGTGCAGCCTGAGACTCGGCACGGCCAGTGAGCTCCCAGGCGATGCTGGTGCTCCTGGGCTGCGGACCAGCCTTTTGAGGAGCAAAGGTCTACACTCGCTCATTGACCTCTCTCGGTTCTGCACAGAAAGGCTCCGGCCCTGTCTGGCTTGAGTGGGATCCTCTCCCAGCCCCAGGAGCTCAAAGAGGACTCTCTTTCTTAAATATATCTTTATCGATTTCAGAGAGGAAGGGGGAAGGGATTAGAGTAACATCCATGATGAGAGAGAATCATGGATTGGTTGCCTCCTGCACACCCCCTCACTGGGGATGGAGCCCACATACTGGGCCTGGGCCCTGACCGGGAATCGAACCGTGAGCTCCTGATTCATAGGTCGATGGTGAGCCACGGCGGCCGGGCTAAACAGGATGTTTTAAAACAGAAGGCGCCACCGAAACTGGTTTGGCTCAGTGGATAGAGCGTCAGCCTGCGGACTGAAAGGTCCCAGGTTCGATTCCGGTCAAGGGCATGGACCTTGGTTGGGGTCACATCCCCAGTGGGTGGTGTGCAGGAGGCAGCTGGTGGATGTTCCTCTCTCATCGATGTTTCTATTACAGCTCTCTGTCCCTCTCCCTTCCTCTCTGTAAAAAAAAACAATAAAATATATTTTAAAAATAAACAGCAGGCACCATGCCCTGAGGACCCGGGGAGGGCCCCTGCCCCAGGCTCACCTTCTGCCACAGGACCATGGAGCAGCTTCTGCGCAGGGACGTGTGCTGCCATGCCAAGTACTCGTCCACACGGGCGCAGGCCTGCAGGTCCTGGGGGTACCAGTGGTCAGGGGCCTCATACTTCCGGCTGAGATACAGCAGGATGGCCACGCTGGGGGGGACAGCAGGGGCGGGGGATGCGTCCCAGTTACTCTTCCGCTCCTCGCCCGGGGCCAGGCCCTGGACGGGACAGGCCTCGGCTCCTGGCATGTGTTTCCCCATCCCCATGGTGCAGAGTGGGAATGTGAGGCTCAGAGAGGTTAGGTGATTTCCCCAGGTCACACAGCGCTATACTGAGCTACCTCATCCTCTGAACAAAGGGCACAAAGTAAAAAAACAAAAACGCTAAGGGATTTCAGAAGGTGGGGGGGGGGGGTGTGCTCAGAGAAAGCTTCCCCAAAAACGGGGGCACCAGATGGGCCCTAAGGGTGAGAGCAACTCACCCAGCACCCAGCACCCAGCACCCAGTACCACTCCCCAGCAGAGTCAAAGCACGGACACAACAGGAGCAATGCCAGATGCCCTCCCAGCCCTGGCATCTCTCCATCCTGGTGCTGGCACAGTTGTCCCAGGCTATCGGCAGTGGGCACACAGGGGCTGGCCAGCCCCCCACGGCCATGCACCTCTCGGCCAGGGTGAAGTCCCCATCCTTCAAGACGGGCACCTTCCGCAGGGGGTTCACCTGGATGAATTCCTGGCTGCAGTGCTGACCTGTGGAGAGAGCGGGAGGCAGCGGGCAGAACCCTGAGCCCTCCGAGGCCTCTGGCCATGCCCACCCACATCCAGGATATCTCTCTCTCTCTCTCTCTCTCTCTCTCTCTCTCTCTCTTTTAACATATTTTATTGATTTTTTACAGAGAGGAAAGGAGAGAGATAGAGTTAGAAACATTGATGAGAGAGTCATCGATCAGCTGCCTCCTGCACACCTCCCACTGGGGAAGCGCCCGCAACCAAGGCACATGCCCTTGACCGAAATCAAACCCGGGACCCTTCAGTCTGCAGGCTGACACTCTATCCACTGAGCCAAACCGGTCTCGGCTTTTATATACATACATATATATATATATATATATATATATATACACACATACATATATATATATATAATTATTTATATAAATATATATTTATATAAATATATATATTTATATTTATTTATATATTTTTAATTTATTTCAGAGAGGGAGGAACATCAATGATCAGAGCGAATCATCGACCAGCTGCTTCTTACACCCCTCCCCCGCCCCCCCCATTGAGCCGGACCAGGAATTGAACCGGGACCTCCCTTGTCACCTTTGAGCAGCTCCACGATGCGCAGCTCGAAGGGGACGCCGATCTTCTTGGCGAAGATGTAGACGGCGCGGCAGGGCTGCGACAGCAGGTCCAGGTAGAGCTCCAGGCCCATGGCGGCGGGCGGACCGCAGAGGGGGAGGCGGACCCCGGAGGCCGGGCCGGGACCAGAACCGCCGGCTGCAACCGCCAGAGCCGCGCCCGCCACGCCCCCGCGCCCATTGGCTGGCTCGGACACCTGCGGGCCAATCAGCGGCGCCGCATCTCCCCCTTCTCCCCGGGGGGTCTGAGCTGGGGTCCCCGGCCCGGGTCACACCCCTTCTCTGGACCTCCATGGCCGCCTGTCGAACGGACAGGGGGCAGCGGGGTGATAACGGGAAACGGGACGCGAAGGGCCCCCAGCACTGACCCCGGGCCCGGGGGAGGCCGAGAGAGGAAGGAAGTCAGGGTCGCTGAGAACACTAGGGAGGAGAGAAAAGGGGGCGCAGTGCCAGGGGTAGGCTGGGGCGGGTGGGCCTGCTCTCTGCAGAGGCCTAACCCCCATTCCGAGGATTAGCGGTGCACCTTACCCTCCAGCTCATCCCTCCGGAGGGCAGAGCCCTGTGGGTTCATGTGGGGTTTGCAGGGGCCCCAGGCCTTCCCCGCTGTGACCCCATGGCTGTAACGGCGGTTCTCTAAGAGCACCTTCCAGTTAAGAAGGCTGCCCGCCCCGCCCGCGTGGCTCCCTGGTTGACCCATGACCCACAGGCCCGGGTTGTGGGCTCCATCCTCAGTGGACTGTGAACAGGAAGCAGCAGATCGATGTTTCTTTCTCTCTCCCTCTCCCTTCCTCTCTGAAATCAATATTTTTGGGGGGCCAAAACCGGTTTGGCTCAGTGGATAGAGCGTCGGCCTGCGGACTGAAGGGTCCCGGGTTCGATTCCGGTCAAGGGCATGTATTTTGGTTCCGGGCACATCCCCAGTGGGTGGTGTGCAGGAGGCAGCTGATTGGTGTTTCTAGCTCTCTATCCCTCTCCCTTCCTCTCTGTAAAAAAATCAATAAAATATATTTTAAAATATATATATTTTGGGGGGAGGAGGGGGGAGAAGACTGCCCCCAAACCCAAGAAAGCCACCTGGGAGGAGGATCAACCACTGGAAATTTTGAGAATAGCTTGGCCTCCCGGGTCCCCCAAGCTCCCCAGTTAAGGAAGCCCTACCCCCTCTAGCCCCTCTTCCAGGCTGCGGGGAGCCTGTCCTCCACCCCTATCGGGGGCCACCCCTCTCCACCAGTCACCTTTGACTGGGTCACTGCAATATCCAATCTCCCTGCCTCCTCCTTGGCCACCGTCCAGTCCACACCCCCCTCCCCCAGCAGCCAGAATATTCTTCTGAAATACAGCCTGAGCACACCATTGCTGCTCACGGCTCAGGAGCCTCGCTGTGGCAGTGAAGCTCTGAGTGCCCGAGTCCTGACCACGTAACAGAGTGAGATGCTCAGTCTCTCTCGCACTCCATCTTGTCCCAGCCTGGCTTGCCCCCCGCCCTGCAGGCTGACACCGTCTGCCCAGTCTTGCGTGTAGACACGCCAGCCGTCAGAGGAATTCTGCCTGAGGTTTGAGTTCTGCAAAGACAGCTTCTCCCGTGTCCCCTTTTCTGGGCATAAAAGCAGCCTGAACTCTGCCCGTGGGTAAGATGGACTCCCCTGTTCTCAGCCGGCGCCTTTCCCGAACTCCAAACCCTAACCAACTTCGAGGGTGGGCCTCTGGAGGCATCAGGCTCGCGAACTCTGGACCGGCAGCCACCAGGAGGGCTGCGATTCAGATTTTGCCCTCCCCGGACCGGTTCCTTGGGACAGACACAGGGCTCATGACATACACTATTTGGTGCCAAAGGGCAACGTCCCGGGAGGCCGGCCCAGCCAACTGGTCTACCACCATGCCGACGGCGAACACATGGGGGGGAGGGGGTGCTCGCTGACCCCTATGCTTTCTGGGAAATTACTTCCCCTGGGAATTCGAAGGCCCGAGGAGGCTGTTGGTAATGTCACTCTTGGCAACCAGCAGAGAGACGCTGACCCACGCACAGGGGCCTGCAGAGGAGGGTCCTCTGTTGGACAGAGACCAAGACCAGGGCAGGAGAAAGGTCGGATAAATCACTCAGCAGCGTTAGCAGTGGCGGCTCAGGCTAAGCCCAGGTTTATTTGCCAAACTGCAAAGGAAAGGGGTGATTAAGGAGACCAGGTCTGAGTGTGCTGTCCTCCTCTAGCGCTTTTTAGGTGGCCGTGGAAGATGGGGTGGGGGAGGGACCTGGCCTGAGGGGTGATGGGATTCAGGCAAACCGCTCCTGCTCTCTGGGGTGTCAGGAATGTGCTTTGTGATCTGTGATCTGCGGGGGGCAGAGCCGGGGGGGGGGGGGGGGGCGGGGGGGGCAGGGGGGGGGGCGGGGGGGGGGGCTGCGGAGCTTCCCGGCTCATCCGATCATGGCCATCACCCGGGGCAGCAGCTTCTGCTTTAAGGAAGGGTCTGCAGGGGGGAAGTCACCGGCCTTCAGGATGACTTCGTGGGCCTCTTGGAAAAGGGGCGGCCCCAGCTCGGCCTCCACGCGCTGGCTCCATGCAGCTAGCTTGGGTCGGCTGTCAAAGATCGGGCAGCCGGCACTCACGGGCTGCAGGGGAGAGGGGGCCAGGGCGGGGTAAGGGTGGGTGGGCGAGGCCAAGCAGCACCTGCCCGGTGTGGGGACCACATAGCTCCAGAAGAGGAGACCTCCAACATGCTCCATGTCCCAGCCCCGGGGTGGGGACTCACGTGCATCAGCTCCGTGATGGCTACCAGGTCCGCCAGGGAAATGTGGGGCCCCACCAGAAAGGCCTTGTCCTGGAGGAAATTGTCTTCCAGGATCTGCAGGGTCAGATCCAGCTCTGCCAGGGTGATTTCCAGGACCTCGGGAGAGACGGGCTCGCCCAGGACGACCGGGAACATGATCTGGCGGGTGGGCAGGCAAAGCGAGGGGAGCGAGAGGGGTGGTGGCTAGAGCCAGCCCAGCCTTGGGGGTAGAAAGGCAAGCAGCCTTGACCCCCAGCTTTGGAACTGCTTCCCTGGCTCCATACCCTGGGAAGGCCTGCAAGGAAATTCCCAAAGGACCCCTCTCTACTGAACTATTCCAGCCGCCGCCGTGAGCTCTGATTGGCTGAGCCTCAGAGACTTCTGCGGGACTCAGACCCCTTTAAGAATGGATCAAAGGGCCGAGACTGGTTTGGCTCAATGGATAGAGCGTCGGCTTGGGGACTGAAGGGTCCCGGGTTCGATTCCGGTCAAGGGCATGTACCTTGGTTGCGGGCATATCCCCGGTGGGGGGTGTGCAAGAGGCAGCTGATTGATGACTCTCTCTCATCGGTGTTTCTAACTCTCTGTCTCTCTCCCTTCCTCTCTGTATAAAATCAATAAAATATATTTATATATATATATATATATATATATATATATATATATATATATATAAAAGAATGGATCAAAGGGATTCTGAACCTTGTAAAGGGGAGGGAGCAGGCCCAGGAACTACCTATTTTATAACCTCTTTCCTCCTGACACAAAAGCAATCCCTCTGACAGTAGAAGTAATCAGGTGGGTGGGCTTTTAAGGTCTCCACCCTCATACAAACTGCAGAACCTAGAGCAAAACACACAAACCCCTTGAGCCTCGATCTCCCCAGCTATGATAGGGGAATAGCAGTATAAGGCTTGTATATAACAGTGAGTTTGGCTCAGTGGGTAGAGCATCAGCCTGCAGACTGAAGGATACTGGGTTCGATTTGAGTCAGGGCACATGCTCAGGATGCAGGCTCCATCCCCAGTAGGAACAGTGCAGGAAGCAGCTGATCAATGACTCTCTCTCATCATTGATGTTTCTCTCTCTCTCTCTCTCTCTCTCTCTCTCTCTCTCTCTCTCTCTCTCTCTCCCTTCCTCTCTGAAATCAATAATATATATATATAATTTTTTAAATTATATATTTAAATTTTTATATAAATAAATTGTTTTTAATGTACTCAATGGGCTTAACAGCATCCTGAGCACAACAGAAGGAAGGACGAGTGAAGGCGAAGTCAGGTCAGTAGAAACTACCCAAACGGAAGCGGAGAAGGGGACGGTGCCGGAGCCCTGAGGTGGCGCCCTCACTGCCCCGTCGGGGCCTCACCTTATGCCACAGGACCCGGAGGCAGTGCCTCCGCAGGTTCGTGTGCTGCCAGGACAGGTACTCATCCACGCGGGCACGAGCCTGCAGCTCCTGAGGGTACCAGTGGTCAGGGACCTTGAACTTGCGGGTCAGGTAGAGTAGGATGGCCACGCTGCAAGGGGAGGGAGGACATGAAGGGTGTAGAAAGGGCACTGAGGCCCTAGCTGGTGCGGCTCAGTGGACAGAGCGTCAGCCTGCAGACTGAAGGGCCCTGGGTTCGATTCCTGGTCAGGGCACATGGCTCCATCCCCAGTGTGGAGCGTGCAGGAGGCAGCCGCTCCATGATTCTCTCTCATCACGGATGTTTCTCTCTCTCCCTCTCCCTCCCTCTCTAAAGTCGATAAAAATATATTTAAAAGCAGAAGAAGCCCTAACCGGTTTGGCTCAGTGGATAGAGCGTCGGTCTGCGGACTGAAAGGTCCCAGGTTCGATTCCGGTCAGGGGCATGTACATTGGTTGCAGGCACATCCCCAGTAGGGGGTGTGCAGGAGGCAGCTGATGGATGTTTCTCTCTCATCGATGTTTCTAGCTCCCTATCCCTCTCCCTTCCTCTCTGTAAAAAATCAATAAAATATATTTTTAAATAAATAAATAAAGATAAAATAGAGGGTTGGGACAAGATGGCCCCGGCGAGGTCTGGGAGCAGCCCCGGGCCCCTGTTACCTCTCGGTCAAGGTGAAGTCACCGTCCTTCAGGGCCGGCACCTTCTGGACGGGGTTCACCAGGGCAAAGTCCTCGCTGAGGTGCTGGCCTGCGGAGAGAGCAGCGGGGTGGGCGGTCAGCGGAGAGCGCGGGGCCCTGCGCCCCTCGGCCCCTCCCCGCGGGATCCTGGCCTTGGCCCGAGTTTATCTAAGAGGTTTCTGCTCCTGCAGCTGCACCAGGGAGAGCCGCTGACGGACACGTAGGTCTCCACGGTCGCCCGGCCAGTGTTGCTGTCCACTGAGCCAAACGGGCCAGGGCAAGCTGCCCTACTTCTCCTCCCGGCGACCGTGGGTGCTGGGCCCAATGCCAGGACTCCGTGTGCCAGCGGGTCCTTGGGGCCTGGCCAAAGGGTGGAGGGTTCACCAAGCCTCCAAACCCGCCCCAGGGCACACCACGGAGCGCCCCCTCCTCCCCATCAGGGACAAGAGAAACAGGACAAAGTGGATAAAGGCAAAGTTAGAGGAAGAGAAGGAGGAGAGGGGAGAGGAGGGGGAGAGGAGGAGACAGAGGAGGAGAGGAGGAGGAGGAGGAAGAAGAAGAGATAGAGGAGGAGGAGGAGGAGGAGGAGGAGGAGGAGGAGGAGGAGAAGGGGGAAAGGAAGAAGGGGAGGGAGAGGAGGAGGAGGAGGAAAAGGAGGAAGAGAGGGAGGAGGGAGAGGAGGAGGAGGAGGAAGAAGAAGAGATAGAAGAGGAGGAGGAAGAAGAGATAGAGGAGGAGGAGGAGGAGGAGGAAGAAGAGACAGAGGAGGAGGAGGAGGAGGAGGAGGGGGAAGAGGGAGGGGTAGAAGGGGCTCCAGTGCAGACTGGGCGGAGCAGAGAAGGGCTGGAAGGTGTGGGCAGAGCGAGCTGTTGCAGAAGTTCCGATGGGAGGCTGCCCAGCGGGCTGGCCTCTGTCCCAGGCTCTGCCCTGGGCCGCCTCACCCTCTCCTCCTGCCGCCTCCCGGTCCCCCGGCCTGGGGCACCCCTTCTTCACCAGGCGGTCTCTCCTCCTCACTCATCTTTATCGGTATTTATTTAAGAGAGGGAGAGAGAGAGAGACATCCATGGAGAGAGAACCGGGGTGGGCTGCCTCTTGCACACACACACACACACTCACACACACACACACTCACACACACACACACACACACACACACACACTCACACACTCACACACTCACACACACACACACACACACTCACACACACACTCACACTCACACACACACTCACACACACACTCACACACTCACACACTCACACACACACACACCACACTCACACTCACACACACTCACACACACACTCACACACTCACACACACACACACTCACACACACACACACACTCACACACTCACACACACACTCACACACTCACACACACACACACACTCACACTCACACACTCACACACACACACTCACACACACACTCACACACACACTCACACACTCACACACACACTCACACTCACACTCACACACTCACACACACACACACTCACACTCACACACTCACACACACACACTCACACACACACTCACACTCACACTCACACACTCACACACACTCACACACACACACCACACACACACACTCACACACACACTCACACACTCACACACACTCACACACACACACACTCACACACACACTCACACTCACACTCACACACTCACACACACTCACACACACTCACACACACACACACTCACACACACTCACACTCACACTCACACACACACTCACACACTCACACACACACTCACACTCACACACACTCACACACACACTCACACTCACACACACACTCACACACTCACACACACACTCACACTCACACTCACACACACACTCACACACTCACACACACACTCACACTCACACACACTCACACTCACTCACACACACACCCGCCTGGGGGCCGCGCCCGCACCCAGGCATGCGCCCGGGCCTCGGGTTCCCAGGGGGATGCTCTGCCCACAGGTCTCTCCTCCTGGACCTGGGAGCGTCCGGGTGGCTCGCCGTTCTCCGCGATGGAGAGGAGGGGGCCCGGGAGGGGGTCCCCGGCCCCCAGCGACGCCTGGCCTCCCGGCTCCTCCCCGGACGCCGCCGCCGGGCCCACCTTTGAGCAGCTCCACGATGCGCAGCTCGAAGGGGATGCTGTTCTTCTTGGCGAAGATGTAGACGGCGCGGCAGGGCTGCGACAGCAGGTCCAGGAAGAGCTCCAGGCCCATGGCGGCGGCGGACCGCAGCTCCGGGCGCTGCGCGGAGCCCAGCGGACTGGTTCGCAGCGAGGCCACGCCCCCTGGCGGTCATTCCGGGGCCAACGGCTGGCGACGCCCCGACGGGGCGGGCGGGCGAGCTGGAGCCTGGGGCTCCGGCCCAGCCAAAGGGGGTGGGGGCAATGGGCGGGTCCCCCCTCTGAGGGTCAGGCGGAGGGCTCCCAGCCCCAGGGCTCTGTGGCTGGCTCGTTGGATTTATTTTATTTTATTTTATTTTATTTTATTGTTTTAAATATATTTATTGATTTTTTTCAGAGAGGAAGAGAGAGGGATAGAGGTTAGAAACATTGATAAGAGAGAATCATGGACCAGCTGCCTCCTGCACACCCCCTACTGGGGATGTTCCCTGTAACCCAGGTGCATGGCCTTGACCGGAATTGAACTGGGACCTTTCAGTCCACAGGCTGATGCTCCATCCACTGAGCCAAACCGGTTTTGGCTGGCTCGTTGGATTTAGAATCACAGCCTCCAGTTTCACCTGGTAGTGTCTCAGAGCATCTCCTGTCACCCCCATTTCACAGGTGAAGGCCCAGGCGTGACTGCAGACCCAGAAAGTCTGCGGATATGAGACATGCAGAGGTGGGGGGGGGGCTGGCTTTGCCTGACTGTGTTCAAGGTGAAGTAACGAGCCGAGACCGGTTTGGCTCAGTGGATAGAGCATCGGCCTGCGGACTGAAGGGTCCCAGGTTCGAGTCCAGTCAAGGGCAGCATGTACCTTGGTTGCGAGCACATCCCCAGTGGGAGGGTGAGCAGGAGGCAGCTGATCGATGATTCTCTCTCATCGATGTTTCTAACTCTCTATCCCTCTCCCTCCCTCTCTGTAAAAAAAATCAATAAAAATTTATTTTAAAAAAGATGGAGAAACGAGGTGCAGAGAAGGAAAGAGGCAGTCCCAGCGATTGGGGGGGGGGGGCAGTGCCCACCCACCAGGAAGACCGAGGTGGTGAGGCCCCCGGGTGTGCGAGAGGAGGGGATCCAGCCGCCACGCAATGCCCACCGTGGCCCAGGGCTCTGACGCGCCTCTGTGGTGCCTGGAGCTAAGGGCATGGGGTCCGGGGCCAGATCTTTCCGGTTTATTCCAGTGCATTCAGAGAACACGCCTCGTTAGGAGACCTATCTGTTTCAACGTGTTGGGACTTTACGGCCTGACACGTGGTCTGTCACGGAGAACATCCCACATGCCCTGGAAGAGAATGTTTATTCTGCTGCTCTTTGTGTGTTTTTTGTTTTAAATTTGTTTCGTTTTTAATCCTCACCCAAGGATATGCTTTCCATTGATTTTTAAAGAGAGTGGAAGAGAGAGGGAAAGACAGAAACATCGATGTGAGAGAAACACCTCAGTGGGTTGCCTCCTGCATGGGCCCTGACCGGGGCCCGGCCCAGGGAGGAGCCTGCAACAGAGGCGATGTGCCTTTGACTGGAATCGAACCCGGGACCCTTAGGTCCACAGGCGAAAGTTCTATCCCCGATCCAAACTGGCTAGGGCTATTCTGCTGTTCTTGAGTGTTCTCTCCCTCTCTCTCTCTCTCTGTAATGTATTTATAATATATAATATATATATAATATCGATATATATACAATATAATATAGAGGCCTGTTGTGTGATGTTTGTGCAGGAATAGGCCTTCCTTCCCGGGCTCCCTCCCCGCTCCCCAGCAGCCCCGTGCCCACCCCGGGCGCAGGCTCGGCAGCCGTGGCGGTGGTCCCGGCTCTTTATTGGACAAAGAAACAGTGGGTTTTGGTGTCCGTCCTCGGAACGGAGGCTCCGAGGGCTGAGCAGCCGGCGCCGTGGGGGCGGCTCCTACTTCAGCTTCTGCAGCAGGTCAACGATCCTCTCCTTGACCGACGGGTCCAGCGTGGAGCAGTCCCACTCGCCCAGCTTCGTCAGCCGGTTGTGGGCCTCCCAGAAGAGGTTGGGGCCGATGCTCAGCTCCACCCGCATGCGCCACTCGGACAGCCTGGGGCTGGACTGGAAGACATTGTAGTTGCCCCCCATGGGCTGCAGGGGGGGAGGGACAGAGCAGAAGGCGCGGTCACCTGGGGCCCAGCGCCCCCCCCCCCGGCTCCTCCCTCAGCCTCAGTCACAGGCTCCGTCACGGAGGTGGGGTGGGGATGGGAGCTCCGGGACCCCCCAGGCTCCTGGTCACTAGTCTTGGTCCAAGGTCTCAAATCCCTCTCTGGGGGAGCCCTGGCCGACGTGGCTCCTCCTTTTCCCAGTGGGAAGCCGCCTGTGGGTCACGCCTTCTCCCAGAGACCCACGGTGTCCCCGATGAGGGTGGGAGGAACCGCCCCTCCCCATGTCCAGCTCCCTCTGTGGTCCGGCAAGGGGGCTGGCGTGGGAGACCCAGCAGACAGCGAGAGGGGCCTGCACCCAGTGTGTGCGGGAGGCCCATGGCGGGCGGGCGAGAGGGAAACGCAGGGGCTCTCCTACGGAGAAAATCTACAACGGGTTTTCCCGGGCCGATCTGCAAGGTGGCCAGTTGCAAAGACACCAGCCAGGCTCTAAACTGGCCATCCTGCCCGGCCTGCGTGGCTCAGCGATTGAGCGGCGACCTGTGAACCAGGAGGTCATGGTTCGGTTCCCGGTCAGGGGCACAGGCCTGGGCTGTGGGCTCCATCCCCAGTGGGGGGCGTGCAGGAGGCAGCCAGTGGATGAGTCTCTCGCATCATGGATGTTTCTCTCGATCCCTCCCTCTCCTCTTTCCTCTCTGAAATCAATAAAAATATGTTTGAAAAATAAATAAACTGGGCTGGACCGGGCTGCCTCCCCTGCATGCAGGTCTG